CACCAGGGAGCCAAAGGGATCAACCTTTTTCTGTAGGACTTCAATTTTACCAGGAACCAGAGCAAGAGCTGGATCAGGGGAAACAGAACAGGAACCCCCACCTCAACCAGTCCAGCCAAAAGCATCTTCTGCATGACTCGCAGTCTGGGAATGGTGCCACAACCAGGCCGATGTGAAGAGGTCCACGTCTGGGTGCCCTAATGAGGGCAAAGCCGAGAAAGGAGTTAGCGGCGATGGTTCACTCCGTGGAAATGTTACAGGACTAAGAAGACTGCCAGTCAGGACGTTGGACACTCGACGTGAACAGCATAAACAACCAACCCCAAGAAATCAGGAGATGAATCTCGTGTAGAGTTCAGCTCCAAGAGACAGGCAGCAAAGACAACTTCCATATCCCTCGGTTGAGACCACAAAGCATGAGGAGACTGTTCAAAAGGAGCCGGACCACAGAGCCCAGAGAGATCTTAAAGCTCTACCATGCAAACCACACAGCCACAAACTCCTGCACTGGATTGTGAGCCCAATAAAGGTGAGGGGACCAAGGCCCTAGACCAGCAAGGCAAGCATTGGTCACAAAGCTCCAGCTGAAATTGGAAGCATCCAAAAAGACAGAAAGGAAGGCCCCAGGAAACTAGACCATTGAAAACCTTGAAGAGGAAGCCAGTGATACAGCAGCTGGTAAAGGGCACCTAGAGGTAGCATCCAGCAAATGCAGGTGCTGTGGAAGAACCAGCTCTGAAGAAATCAAAGCCTCAGAAGCCAAACCCTGCCCAAGGGAAAACGAGGACGGCAAAGTTGAGGTTCCTGCACAGCTGCTCGAGCAACTGCCGAGTCACCTGGTGCGTGCGCAACACCAACAGAAAGCAGTGTTGCAGTTGTGTAGGGGGGCCAGCAGCAGGGCCAGTGAAGCCAAGTGAGTCCTAAATGAGGCCCAGCCTATTCCAAACCAATGCCAGAACCAATGAGACTTCTGCCATTTTACCAGGAACTTGAGAGAGAGAGAGGGAGAGAGAGAACCAGAACCTTGGCCAGCAGACACGCAGACTGGCTGGGAGATCACACCAGCCAGTTGTCAAGGTAGACCAGGACCCAAACAACAGGAAGACAAAGGAGGGCCACCATGATCCAAGCCAAATGCATAGAATGCGAGTCCAAAGAGGAGGACTTGATAATGGGAACCTATTGCCTCAAGAGAAAGCTAACCAATCTCTGGATGTATCCGAGCATGTCAGAATATATCCAGGTCCAGAGAAGCAAACAAGCACCAAACTCATGGACGAGTCGAACCTGAAAAAAAGTAATCCGAAAGAAGAGGCAAGGAAAGCACCGGTTCAACCCAGACAGAGCGAGGAAGAACCAGAGATCCAGAGAATCCTGACTAGAGACCAGAAAAGGTGGGAAACAACCGAAGGGAAGTGGTTGGTATGACCACCCCCAAAAACACCCATTCCAAGATGACTTTATGAAGACGAGGAGAGGAGGGCCACCCAGAAAGACCCAACCCCCCCGAAAAGTGGACGGATCAACTAATTCCACCACAGGCTGCACAAAACTCCCTTTCCCATCACCCTGTCAAAGAGTGAACCGGAAAAATGCCGTGTGAGCTGGTAAACAAAAACATGGCCATCACCTCCCGAAGGACAGGGGTTCAGAGAGTCAGTCCGAATGCAGATCCATGGCTCAAGAAGTGCACAACAGCACCCAGGTGCAACGAGTACAAAAGTCTACAACAATCTGCGTGGCTGACCAATAAAGAACCTGAACATGGAGGTAAACATCTCGACATCCTTTGGGATAGTGGGGCAAATAAGTAGACAGAGAAATGCCAAGGAAACACCTCCATCCCCGAAGCCTGTAACACAGAAGCAGCCTCATGCCACTCGAGTGAGCGGGACGGAAGCATGGATATCCATGTGGCATGATGATGCACAATCCTTGAACTCGCTCAAGAAAAGTGTAGGTTCCACAAGGATATCCAATGGACTACCGAAACCAAAGGGGTTTTCCAGGGAATGGCTCTGCAGAATTCCCAGAGATTGGGATCACTATGCTGAAGCCCTGATTAGGAAACAGGACCTACTGCATTTTTTTTAAAGAAGGAAAGTCTCGTTTTGGAACGAAAGAAGAAGGGAAGAATCGGGTAGACCCTAAAACGGGTACACGTAGACCAACCCAGCTCACCAGAGGCTGAGAAGGCCGACTTCAGAGTGCCTTGGTTAGGTTGCACGAATCTTAGTGTGCCTCGCCAGCCAAAACTTGCTCCCTAAGAACAAAGCCAAAAACAAAACAGACTTACCAAGGGCAAGGACCACAACAAGCAAGGAAGCCTTCTATGGAAGCAAACCCCGAATACTCCAGGGAAGAGGACATTGGCATCGCAAGGGCAGCACTAGGGGAGCACACAGGGAAGAAAAACCCTGAGCATATGTAGCTCCAAGCGAACTATATTCCTGGCATACACAGCACAAATGTGTATTGAAACAGCCACAAATGCTGAAGCAGAACATGGGAGCCAGAGTGAAAGGAGGCACCTCTCTCTGTCTTCCCTCAGCAAGAACTGAGTGTGAAGCAGCCAGGAGACCCAGTCTGTCTCCCTCCTTCTCCCCAAAGGAGGTGGGGATGGGAAATGGGGCGAACAAGTTTGAGGTATCGATATTTCCTTATAACCAGCAATGGTCTGTTTTGTCTTGCTAACTTTGTGGTTGCTTCCCTGGTGGTAGTGGACTTTAGTAAATTTCACTGACAATTTAATCATAGTGCCACCGCTCTCTTCATCTCATTAGAGGGGGCCCTGGGTTTTGGCTCATGGTTCCCGGTAGGCCTAGAACAACTCCCAGACTGATGGCATCTAGTAATTTTCCTCTGTAGTTTGAGAGCCACAAAGGGCTTCCCCAGATATAAAAAGTAGCCTTTCAAACTAAACACCAGTAAAGATCACATTCTAATGATCACCTATACTCCAATTTGTTAAAAATATAAATTCTTCTACTTTAGTTTACTTTGAAAAGAATTTATTGAACGAATATCCCAACAAATCTTATCCCAACCTTGGATAGAGGCTCCTGGCAAAGTGTTTCCAATAAGCTCTCACCAATCTTAATAGTTTCTGTATCAGGGACAGGAAGCCTGTATTTAGGCTTATCAACTAACCCCACCAGGTCAACTACTGATGATCTTTCCAGGATGCCACCCACAACAGATGTCCAACTGCCTATTTGATGCTAGGTAAATGGAGGCATCTGGAGAAAGTAAAAGTACCCAACCACTTTTGTCTTTGCTGGCCATTTCACCCAGGATCCTTGATTGTTAGTCAGGAATGTAGACTACTATACTACAGGACCCATTTTAATCTTAATCTGACCTTGACAGTATAATCATTACCTTGTATCAACAGTAAGTTCTTAATTTATCAGTTATGTTAATTAGGAAATGTAACATTTATGGGCCACAAGCTTCATTTGGAACAGAACTTCACATTAAGCGTCACCACCAAGCTTCGTTTAATTTAAGCTTTATGTAAGTCCAGCAACACTGAAGCATCTTGTAGGCAGCACAGGCAAGCACTAGTGAAAGGCTATATGGAGAAGATATGATTAATTCTGTCAAGACAGACAGCCTGTGTATGTACAGTATATACATTAGGCTTACATTGAAGGTCTCCCCCCCCCCCCACCACCACCAAGGAGGAACTACCGACTCTCCCCAGGATGCAACCCCACAACAGCTGACTAAATCCCAAGTAATATACCTATTTACTGCTAGGTGAAGAGCCATTAGGTGAAAGGAAGCATGCCCAACCGTTTCTGTCCCAGCCAAAAATTGAACCCGGGATCCCCAACTGGGAGTCGAGAACAAACCAAAATGGGAGTGCGTTCGGGTGGACATAAATAGGAGCTATCGTGTAGAGCCAAAAGGCCTTCTACCATTTCCTTCATTCTTATATTATTTAGCTAGATGGATAAGTTCAGATGGTATGGAAAAGGCTACAGTATATCCACTGTTATTAACCAAGATTGCCTTGCATGAATCTACAACTCTTTCTTCCCTACAAACTGCTGCTGCTGCTGCCGAGAGCTTTCAGCCTGCTCCTTAGACTTCAGTGTGTGTTCCAGGTGAGGCAAAGGCTGACTAGCACCCTCACAACTACAAGTGTTCAGTTACATCTTTGCATACTTGATATTTCCACTCTTTCCGATTCTAACAATGTAAACTGAAATGTCTAAAGTGGTTGGTGAGAGCACTTCATACTCTGACTTTGGATTTTTTATTTAAGGTAAAGTACAATGTTTCGTCTTAAAATGCACTCAATTTATACAAGTCTAAATTTACTTTTATAATAGTTTTTCTTCACTAATGCACACCTTTGATCTATTTACATTCCCTAAAATGGCATCAAGGAAGAGAGCGCACGACTGGAGATACAAATGAACAAAATGGTATAACAAGGGGATATAAGTAGGGTTCTAAAACTACCAACCCAACTTTGAAAAAAAAGATCTATACAAATTGAAGAAATTTAAGATTTAGAAAATAACTAATCAAAACTGGCTCGTAAAGACCCGTGTACCAAGTTACTGTGTAACATCAAAGAAGCAAACGTGTTGGAAAATTTCAAGCCTAAGAGGCCCCTTCAAGAATGAAGGGGCCTCGTAGCCTGGTGGATAGCGCGCAGGACTCGTAATTCTGTGCCGCGGGTTCGATTCCCGCACGAGGCAGAAACAAATGGGCAAAAGTTTCTTTCACCCTGAATGCCCCTGTTACCTAGCAGTAAATAGGTACCTGGGAGTTAGTCAGCTGGCTTCCTGGGGGTGGAGGCCTGGTCGAGGACCGGGCCGCGGGGACACTAAAAGCCCCGAAATCATCTCAAGATAACCTATGTTGAAGGAGTAAACGAGAGCCTGGGTATAAACAGAAGCTGTCTTGCACAAGCCAATTGGCCTCTGCAGATTACTTTATTCTTATGTTCTGAAGAATGAAAAATGGGTATAAATAATTCTTACAGATAATGGTGGGAGTGTTGCAATCTTGACAGTAGCATCAGTAGTAGTTGGCTGTTCTGAATACAACTGTGTGCGCTCCAGAATTTGTGTCAGGAGAGTTATTGTCGACTCGCAAAGCTTTGGGTCATGGCCCAAATTACGCCATGTCTCACATACACCCCTGTGTGAGAAGTGAATTTTGTAATATCATCGTCTTCCACTAACTACACAGGGAGAATGCATTTTAACTAAATCCGACATCTGACACTGCATTAAAAAATTGAGCATCGAGTAAAATAAAAAGCACTTTCTAGGGAGCCCTCCTCAGTAGCTTCCCTTAGCTATGTCAATAGTACTCTAGAAGTATTATCAATATGTCAGGATCCAATGACAATCTCAGCACTCAGGAAGCAGTAGCATTTCACATCAACTTTCCTCTACAAGAAGGAGAGTACATGAGGATTAAAAATCAAATTGCTACAAAGAAGATTTACTTAAAAATATAAAAGATGTCACACAACATTCAACCTCCTTCAAGAAAAGTTTGGCATTCACTGAACATCCTAAATAAAGTTGTAACATACAAACAACTTGCCTCATCGACCATCCCCCCTACCCCGCACTGCCACCAAGTGGTGGCCCAAGTCACTCTGGGCTCCGGCTAGGTGACCACCTTGGTCTCAAGGCTTGGCACACTACCTCTAGTACAGGAAAGTAGAGGAAGAGCAAGAATGGGAACTACTGAGGAGCCCTCAGAAAGTCCTTGATTCACCGAACCTCACAAGTTCAGTGAAGTAGTCCCGAGTGATGCATCAACAAAATTGAGAGGTATTCTGTATGTAGAACGCCACAAACACATGGCGTAGGCCATAGTTTTACAACTTGCTGGATGATCTGGGACACTGGCACTAATTTGAGTTTGAAAGTAGAAATGAATGTCCCACATACAACTCCAACCAATCTCTGGACTGAGGATGGATAAGCATTTGATAATATAAATTGTCATCCACACTTCCATGGAAATAAACATTCCATTCACCAGGGCTCTAGGAGACTCAAACCGCGAACCCCACGTGTGTGAGGCCAAAGCTTTATCCACCAAACTATTGAGTAATCTTAGTAAGGAAAGTTTCCAGAAGCAGCATCCTGCTGCCAAACTCAAATTTTTTACTTTCCCTGACTGCTACTGAAGCTCAGAGGAATTAGTGATCCATGCCCACGTCACATATACTGTCATCCACACTTCCATGGAAATAGCCATTCAAATAGCCATTCTGCAAATTTAAGGAAACAAGTGCAGACTAGTGTAATCCCATCTTATACACCTGGAACACCATATTCATAAGAAATGATGGATAGGGGCTGCATTTGTTGAGCCACCATAGGTCCAAGTTGAAGCAGGGTTGTGGAGCAACCTGAGTGGAGGACAAAAGGTGGAGGACAAAACCCGAGTGAAGCATGTCACCATGATCATCCATCTGTCTAAAAAAAAAAATTTCAAGTGATGATGTGGAGTAGAAGGCTGGGCAAAACTCCCCACACACCCGAGGGAACAACAACGATGAGACCAATGAGACCCCTGGAGCTTGAGCTTAGCAACTTCCTCTATTTTGCAAGCCGATCACCTTGGTAAACAGGTTGATCTTTGATCTACAAATGTGCCATGCTCAACAGAGATAAAAAGGTCAATGTATAATAGTGTGTGCTCCAAGTGCACTGACAAAGGGGAGCTACTGAGGGGGTCCAATCCAAAAATACAAACCGTCTTCTGTAGCAATTTAATTTATTTTTAGACGATAATTTAAAAACATTTGAAAAACTCAGACTTGTGAGTGTATATGAATTTTTTTTTTGAGCAGGATACTCTTATCTTACACAAGGTCCTCTGGTCTCATAGATGGAATCCTGCAGTCAGAGGCAGAGGTTTTTGCCTCTAATTTGACTCAATGTCTCAACTCAAATTTGAGGATCTGAATAACTCTGTGCAGATTAGCAGTGTATAATGTACAGATCTACTCTCTCCCATGTTGTGTTTACTCTATCAGTAGTAGTAGTAGTAGTAGGCATCCATCAGTCTCAAGAGACTATGGAGTTGTGCTCTGGTTGTGGGTCTATCACACCTTGATACAGTATTATAATCTACAATCCAAACACTAGTGTCTATGTAATCGATAGCATTGATGTTTGTGAAGGCTCAAAACCACTTTGCTTCTGTGAGGAGGCTATTTTGAAAGGAATGGGCTATAAATCTTTTTAGATCTCATGTTAGTAAATATGGCTGTTGTTATTTTGAATTAATTTTAATGTTTTTTTTTGTAGAATCTATGGTATTCTCACTTTACAATATGAGGATATTTTGAACGTGTTCTGTCCAGAAGTTGCATTGTCCAGCACTACAATTCCTGTAATGATGGGTTATGAGATTGTCACAACCGGTGAAGGAAAGAATCAATGCCCTCAAGTGATATGCTCAACCATACTTGAGACAGAGCCACACATGCCACATACAACACAGTACTGGGAATGTGGCAAGACACATATACCTCTCAGACATAGAGCCACACATGCCACATACAACACAGTACTGGGAATGTGGCAAGACACATATACCTCTCAGACATAGAGCAACACATGCCACATACAGCACAATACTGGGAATGTGGCAAGACACATATACCTCTCAGACATAGAGCCACACATGCCACATACAACACAGTACTGGGAATGTGGCAAGACACATATACCTCTCAGACATAGAGCAACACATGCCACATACAGCACAATACTGGGAATGTGGCAAGACACATATACCTCTCAGACACAGAGCAACACATGCCACATACAGCACAATACTGGGAATGTGGCAAGACACATATACCTCTCAGACACAGAGCAACACATGCCACATACAGCACAATACTGGGAATGTGGCAAGACACATATACCTCTCAGACATAGAGCAACACATGCCACATACAACACAGCACAGTACTGGGAATGTGCGAGACACATATACCTCTCAGACACAGAGCAACACATGCCACATACAGCACAATACTGGGAATGTGGCAAGACACATATACCTCTCAGACATAGAGCCACACATGCCACATACAACACAACACAGTACTGGGAATGTGGCAAGACACATACACCTCTCAGACATAGAGCCACACATGCCACATACAACACAGCACAGTACTGGGAATGTGCGAGACACATATACCTCTCAGACACAGAGCAACACATGCCACATACAGCACAATACTGGGAATGTGGCGAGACATACACACCTCTCAGACACAAAGAAAGGGACCCACAGGCCCAAACTAAAGCCCAAGAAAGCTCAAATTGTCACTAAGCCAGGCACTGCCCATGTTTCCAAAGAGGAAGAAGGGTCAGCCACAGAAACACATTCAAGAGTGGAAATCCCACCCACCATGGCCAGAACTGAAGACTGATTAGTGAAAACCAAATTCCTTCAAGCACAGCAGCAGAAGGGAATGGCATCTTCCAGAACAGAACCAGTGCTTCAAAACAAAGCCTCAGAAATAAGCAATTCCCAAAGCATCAACCTAACCTAGTGGCACCAATGTTGAAATGGCTCTATCCAAGGAACAGAAAGATTCAACAACAGATGCAGTAAGTAGGCAGGATAGCTGAACACTAAGAACCAAAAAGTTCTGGGCAAAGCAAGTAGAAGCAGAGCATGAGCTGTCCTCCTACACACCCAAGTTTTTCAAAAACACAGGGAGCTATGAAAAACACTAAATGACACATGGTGACAACAAGTTTTCAGTGAAATTGTATGAGTGAATAACTGAGCCACAACACTACAGGTTAACATCCAAGAAATGGGCATATACTAAGTTGACAACCACACCCAAAACACACACACACACACAGATGAACAAACTCGGTAATGAAGAATGTAGCAGGCAAAACAGATCGAGTGATTGAGTCAAAACACTGTGTCGCTTTCAAGAAAACTGCATACAGTGGGTCCCTGAAATTCATGTGTCTGGGCTACAGACAGCTATAGGTGTAAACCTGCAATAAAAATCTCACTTCTGTACGTCTGAGGAAATGCCCATGGTACAAAACGACTGGGTATTGCCACATGGTCGCTCGCCCATAACATAGTAGTGGATATTATGCGACATCCTTATCATGATTGCCTCCATTTACAGTACTGCGGTGAGGTATGACTACTACTTGATTAATTGATACATTATGCTTTCATTTCTATGCAAAGACATATGTGAACCACATGTATGCATGGTAAACACAGATCATTATTTAATCTCACACTGTCAATGTTCAATCTTGCAAGTGTATGTGTGCAGAGATATCACTTTAAAATTGGAAACATCTTGACAGACGTAAAGACACCACTCGGAAAAAGAAACAAGAGAGTTTGGAGAGACTGACCTTTCATATGGAAGTGGATACGTAAGCATGGTATCCAGCACCAAGCTCAGGTTGTGGGAAGACAGACGGGTCAGAGCCTCCACTGTTCTCCGTCTTGTCTCCTTGTGCGTAACTTTCTCCAATCTGTTAAATATACAATCTGGAAAACCCCAGTGTCATTACCATTAGAACCAACAATGTGTAAAAGGTTCATACAATATTTTGAGACACTTTATAAAGCAATCAATTCACCTATTGTACTTAGTCAAATACAGTACAGTACAGTACAGTACTGTATCTCCAATCCTTGATTTAATAATACCCTTTTTAAGATATTAATAAAGGTACGAGCCACCTTAGAATTACATAAATTCAACGATCAAATTAATCTAAGAATTAACAATATCCAAATCAATAAAGTAGATAGTTGTAACCACTAATTTTATATTGTAACCCTATTGTAACATTAATATATTGTATCCTAGACAATAGTGATTAATACTAATAATTACCGAGTAACACTTCCTACTGGTTGCACTTGGTAACACTTTGTAAAACTGGATAAAGGTAAAGCCTTGAGGGTATTAGTTATTGAACACGGGTTATTTATATTTTACATAATATGAACTGACAAAGTGTACCACTGATGGGTACGCCAGGAACCAAGGGAACCCTTCGAAGGAAATGCTACACAGGGAACAAATTAATTACGCTGTCACCATCCTGCCTGACCATTAGCTATATCAAGCAATGTGGCAAGAAACATTGCTTGACATTGAGTCTTTTTTTTTTTTTAACTCATTAATCATGGGCTGGTTGTTAACAAAACTATACACATAGGAGTTTGAAAGGTTCCATTTAATGGACACAGATGGATAGTTTAACATGGGTTTATTGAGAACAAAATATAATATTCACCAAACTATAAGTACCTACTCTAACATTGGCAAATGTTTAGAAATCACACATGGGAAATATCCAGGATCACACACTTTACCCTCTGGGTCCTGCTCTCCGACCTGGGTGAGTCTGTCTGTCTCCTGAAACCCGTTTGATGACCTGCGGCCCACACAGCCTCTGTTCCTCCAGCACCCTCTATCCTCTAACTCCCCTACAGGGGCATATATTCCCGCCCCCAAAACTGCCACACCTCCTATCAGCTGGAGAAAGGGGAGGGGGGGAGATTTGCTATTGCAAACCTACATTGAGGCTTTTAAGTGGGTCCGCCCACACGTGCACAAACTCTCAAGAATTTACCATCAAGATGTTTGACAACCACCATACACCGCTTCAAGGATGGAAATTATTAATTACGGAAGTGCAAAAGGGAAGGAACGTTTTCCTCACCCAAATGTTTACACAGCCAACACTCACCCTGCAGGTGGTTGACCTCTGACCTGGCAGAAAGGGGTAGATCTCTGGGTGTTCATACATAAGAATCTGGGAGTATAATTCCATTACAATGTTTCACAAGATTATCATGATATATCAAAACTTGAAACTAGCTGACTAAGACTAGCCAGGAATATTTTAATTAACTTTGCAAGACAATCCAGAGTTCATCTGGGCTGACCTCTTGGAGAAGGCTTCCCTGGGTGCGAGCTCTTGGGGGGGGGGGGGTTGTCATACATGTTACATAGTAAATTCCTTGGTGTTCTCATTGATGAGCTGAATTTCCAGTGCCACATACAAATTATAGCTAAAAAGTCCATTCCCCTGGGCTCTAGAAGATTTGAACCGTGGACCAAATGTGAGTGAAACTGAAGCTCTATTTAACGAGCTATTGAGTAATCTTAACAAGGAAAGTTTCCAAAAGCAACATCCTGCTGCTCAACTGGAATTTTTGACTTCCCCTGACTACTACTGAAGCTCGGAGGAATTGGTGATCTATGCCCACGTCACAAATTGCCGTCCACATTTCCGTGGAAATAAACATATCATTCACCGGGGCTCCAGGAAACTTGAGCCGTGGACCCAACGTGTAAGAGACCGAAGCTCTATCGACTGAGCTATTGAGTAATCTAAAGGAAAGATTATTTTGGTCAAGGTAAACTAAAACCCAAACACCTAGAAGATGCAGCTGGGCCACCATGACCCGGGTAAGACGCATTAAAACGCGAGGTGCCAGATTCAACCCGAAAGGAAGGCAACAAAAGCGGTAAACCCGATGCCCCACCACAAAACCAAACCAGTCCCTCAACCCAGGAATAATAGAGACGTGCCAATTCGTGTCCTGGAGATCCAGAAATACCATCCAAGAACCGGGCTCCAAGAGAAGCTGGACCTGGGACAGAATGATCATCCGAAAGAAGGGGTAAGGAAGCTAGGGGTTCAGACAGGACAAGTTCAGAATAAACCGCAGAACCGCACAGTCCCGTTCCGGCATTGGAAAACAAGCAGGAAACCCACTAGCAAGATGAGGTCGTTTCGACAACGCCCAAGTGCATCCTCTCTAAGATGACCCAACGAAGTGAAGGGGAAGAAGCCTGCCCTCTCAGCCCCAAACCTCCCGGAGGAGGAGGAGCCGCCCAATACCACCGCAGGTCGGAAGACAGAAAATTTTTGACAGAAAGACGCCATTTTCTGGATGAGACCCGGAGGCTTCCTGGAGCTATACCAGGCTGATATGCTAATGTCAGACTTTGGCATCAGTCATGTGTATGGAGTTCTTAGGGCCTAACGGGGACCACGGCCAGAACCTGGCCCCCGCAGAGAAGTAACGGGAGCAATGCCCTATAGAAACCTCGGTGTGGTTGGAAGCATTCTATGTCTTCCATCGACTGGGTCAAGCATCCAGAAAGGTAAGCGTCCCAAAACAAACCCCTATTCTGGTTAAAATTGCTACCAAAAGCCGAACTAGTGGATAGAACTCCCCAACAGAAAACAAGCAAACTAGTATGATGTCACACGTCACCGCGACGCTGTCTGCGCAGCTCCCCCCTTCCCGAGAGGGGGAAGGGGTAGCCCCAGACCTCTCACGCCGGCTATCCACCCATCAGTTCCGAGGCTGGATGTCAAAACACGCAAAAACCGCTGACCGGAGGGAGGGAGGGAGCGAGGGTTGCCGGGGAGCCTCCGGGTCTCACCCAGAAAATGGCATTTCATTACATTCAACACTGGTTTTCTGGGGGAGCCCTGTCGGCTCCCGGATCTAACTACCAACAGAGGAAGGTCTAAGGGATGTATCCGGGAGGCGGCCACCACTCACACCTTAACACGAAGTGAGACAACCGGCTGCAACTGCCAACCCAAAGCGACACAGGCCCAACCAGGCCTAAGGACGTGAACAAGGCAACGAGCAGCCAGGACCCAATTTGACTGCCAAAATACCCAAGCCCGAATGTCCACCCAAGACACAGTCCCAAGGAATGGCAGCAAGAGCCGCGAACTTACGAACGTCACAGGCACGGGGAGAGGCCGCAGGCCGGCCAGCCTTAATAACCCTGCGGACGACCTGGGAGACCTGCACCTGCGAACAGGGAAGAAGGGAAACTGGATCAACCCTAAGCGTGTCCACGGACACAGAAGGTGTGGCGCGCCAAAAACGGCGGAGAGCCGCAACCAGACACAAAACCAACAAGGCATCAACAACCGGGAACAGAAGGTAAAAATGAAGGACCGCCAAAATACCCCACACTGCTGCCAAGAGGAAGCACGCAAGTGGGACACCAGCAACGAAGCCATCCGACCACTAACAGAAGGTGAGACTCAAGGCAGAGCCGAACGAGCCGAGGAAGAGGCGGAGCCGCAGGAAGACCTCGGGTGCGACCACCGAGCAGGCAAAGTCGGAAACCCGAGCTGGCAAAGAAGGAGATCGAACGTCTGCCGTACTGAAAAACGTCCCAATGCCAGCGAGCCGCCAGGAGGGTGGAGACCAAGACCCCGACAGATTCCAAAGAAGGGACACCGCGAGACTCGTAGGACATAGGGAAGCTGAGGAGCGAAGAAGACAGGCAGCAAACGGGAACGTAGGGACAGGACCAACACCAAAAGCCACTGGACATGTCCCACATGTCACCACATACACAAGATCAATCCTGGAGTATGAGGCCCCAGCATGGAGCCCGTACCTTGTCAAGCACAAGACGAAGCTGGAAAAAGTTCAGAGGTATGCCACTAGACTAGTCCTAGAACTAAGAGGCATGAGTTACGAGGAAAGGCTGCGGGAAGTGCACCTTACGACACTGGAAGACAGAAGAGTGAGGGAAGACATGATCACTACCTACAAAATCCTCAGGGGAATTGACAGGGTAGACAAGGATAAACTATTCAACACTGACGGTATGCAAACAAGGGGACACAGGTGGAAACTGAGTACCCACATGAGCCACAGAGACGTTAGAAGGAACTTTTTCAGTGTCAGAGTAGTTAACGGATGGAATGCATTAGGCAGTGATGTGGTGGAGGCTGACTCCATACACAGTTTCAAATGTAGATATGATAGAGCCCAGTAGGCTCAGGAATCTGTACACCAGATTACATCAGATGTATCACACTGGAGAAATGTCACAAGTGTCTTTCCCATGTCTTTTTGGGAATAAAGTATGCAATGCGTTATAATCTGGAAGAAAATAAGAAGGTTGATGCAACTGAAAAAACTGACTTTAGGAGAGGACATTATGGCAACCTTAGAAATTTTTTTAGTGAGTATAATTGGACAGACTTGTTGCTAGGCAAGGAAGTGAATGAGATGTATGACAAGTTTTGTGAAATATATGATAAAGGCACAAAAAAATTTATACCAAAACAGAGATGCAGAACTAGGAAACAGGATTGGTTCAACAGAAATTGCAAGAGGGCCAGAGACCAAAAAACACAAAAATGGAATCAATACAGGAAGAGGCCAAACCCCCAAACATACCAGCGATACAAAGATAGGAGAAACAACTACACGGCAGTGAGGAGAGAGGCAGAAAGAAATTTTGAAAAAGGGATAGCAGACAAATGTAAAACAGAACCAGGTCTATTCTATAAATTCATAAACAACAAATTGCAGGTAAAGGATAATATTCAGAGGTTGAAAATGGGAAATAGATTCACGGAAAATAAAAAGGAAATGTGTTAAACATAAGTTCCAAAGTGTGTTTGTACAAAATGTTTGTACAAACATTTGTCTGTTTGCACAAGACATCCCCGATAGGCCCTAAAAACTCCACACACTTGATTGATGCCAAAATCCGACATTAGCATATCATCCTGGTATAGCTCCGGGGAGCTGACGGGGCTCCCCCCCAGAAAATTGCTTAACCTAGCAACAGAATGATATTAGCCAAGTATAGACAAAAAATCCCCATTCCAAAATTTAATGGATTTATTTTTTTTAATTTAAATGTTTTGAAGTTCATACAACAAATAAAATATTACCTAATAATTCCTTGATGTGCTGATGAAGTTGATGTCCACGAAGAGTAAATACTGTAGTAATGACCAGGGCTACACCTGCCGAGGAGTCACCCAGCCGGTCTTGCAGTCCTACAACCACACTTGACAAGAAGGAGCGCAGTTGGACAAATGAAAGCTTGTTGCTCATCACCTAAAGAACATATAAACATTACCAACAGAAGTTTCAAATGCTGTAGTTGTGCATATACATTTCACTCTCACCCAGTCGCCATACAATGTAGAGCAAGGCATAATGAATGAAAAATATTTTCATCTGAGCGTGCTTTCGGGTTTGCACTCTTCCTCAGGAGATTATCAGACACTGAATGGAGCTGTACAGTGTATTTCATGATTTTAGTTGTGAAAGAACAGTAGTACAGTACAATATACAATACAAAAATCCAGCGTCGAATGTAATGAAATGCCAATTTCTGGGCGAGTCCCAGTGGCTTCCTGAAGCTACTACACTGATACAGTTCCATACTATTAGGTGCCATCAGTTGCAGAGTTCTTATTGGCCTTCTGGGGACCACAAGCCAGAACCTGGCACCCTTAGAGGTGCAGGGAGTTTTTACCAGAGGTAAAGGAACCCCTATTTCAACGAGTTCAGCCAAAAGGTATCCACCCCTAGGGCCTCAGTCAGGAATTGGCACCATGTAAAGAGGCAGATGCCGAGACTACGGTGGTGCAAAGAGAGAAACGTCTGTTTGCCAAAACTTCCAGCAAGGCCAGAGGAAAGAATCTGCTTCAACGATTCATTCAATGGAGATGGGAAGAACCAGGACAGACCATTGGCCAGAACACTGGACACTCCCAGAATGTGAATGGCATAGAGCCATACACGAAGAACTAAGCAGATGAGATACTCAAAGAGCCCAGCTCCAACAAGACAGAGACTGAAGAGAACCCCTCTACCCCCAGTTGAGACAATGAACCATGGGGGTTCAGACTGTGAACCAGTCTGAATGGAGCTGGATCACAGAGCTTGGAGGAGTTTGAACTCCCTACAGCACCTGCCACATGGCCACAAACTCCAGAACCAAACTGTGCACCCGATAAAGAGAGAGATGCCAACGACCCTGGCCGGACTGATGAGTGCTGGTCACAAAGCCGCAATTGAAAGCCGAGGAATCTATGAATATGTTGAGCGAGGGCAGATGAAGGTGCCATGGAAGTGAACCCTGAAGAGGATGTAGGCGATGCAGCAGCTGGTGCAAGGCCCTTGGAGGCTACATCCAGCAATCAGGAAAGAGGCGAAAGTGGCTGCATCGAAAAAACCAGAACAACCTCCAAAGCCAAACCTATCCCAAAGGAAAAACCAGAAGGGCAAAGTTCATACTCCCGCACAAATGCTCGAGAAACCGCCGAGTCAGCCAGCTCCCCCTCAACACCAGGAGACAGCAATGCTGCAGCTGGAGCAATGGTACTGGAGGCAGGGACAGCGATGCTGACTGAAAGTACCAAACTAGGCCCATCCAGGTCCGAACCAGGAATGGAACCAACTGGAACTGCCACCTGTTCACCAGGAACCCCTAACCCAGCAAGCTGGGAAAGAATCAGATCCCTGGCTAGCAGACATGCAGACTGACTGCGAGCCCACACCAGCAAGTCATCAAGGTAGGCCGATACCCAACAACCAAAGATGGCCACCTAGACTAGAGTTAAATGCATAAACTCGGTGTGCCAAATTCATCCCGAACAGGAGAACTCTAAAGCAGAAACCTGCCACCCAAGACAAAACTTAACCAATTCCTCAACCTCAGATGTAAAGCAACATGCCAAAATGCGTGCTGGATGTCCAGAGAGATCATCCAAGCGGCTAGCTTGAGAATGAGCTGGACCTGAGACAACGCGGCCATCTGAAGGAGGGGCCCCTGGATGAACCAGTTCAACCCGGACAGGTCAAGAATGAACGGAAGATCTGAAGAATCCTGTTTCGGGATCAGAAACAGGTGGGAAACCCACCAAAGAGACAGTCGTTTTGACCACGCCCAAAGATGCTCACTCTATGATTACCCGATTAAGGCAAGGGGAGGTGGGCTTGCCTCGAGTGACTAACTCCACTGCAGGCTGCAAGAAACTACCCAAAATATACACAAAACATGGGACCAAGAACTGGCAAACTGAGCTATTCTCCTCCCAACCACCCCATCAAAGAGATGACTAGCAAAAGGGCTGGTGTGAACCTTGAGAACCAGCCTCCTGAGCAGAGGAGGCACCGCTGACAGATGAAGAGGATGAAGCCTGAGGAAGCGCATTCGACCTGGCAACTGGCACCACGGAGAACCCATCTTGACCAACAGCAGGCGACACCCTGACTCGATCAAACCACCAGTGATGGCAAGAACGACCACCCAGAAAACACAAGTCTGCCACAGGCCGACAAGCAGTGGCTGCCGCTGACAAAAATCTGAGAAACCACATCCCCAGGAAACAAAAGTGAAGAAAAGGGAGAAGCAGAAACGAGAGCCAGGGTCCACGCCTAATCCAAAGACTGGGCCAGCACGGCTTGCCAACATGCGAGACAGGAGGTGAAAAACCAGAAGACTGCGTTCCGGAGGATCGAGGCATACAACTTAAAAAGGGCTGACGACACAGAAGCAGCCGAGACCAAAACCCCAGCAGAAGGAGCCTCACCGAGCACTCCCATGTCCTCCAAGAGCCAATCAGAATAAAGTTCCAAGAGGCTCAAAAAACGCACAACACAAGGCATTTGTTTTGTGCAAATGGGCACAAAGGTCGTCTACAACCAAATCACCCGACAGCTGCGGGACCTGAGCATGCAGCTAAAACGATCCACATCTGAAGAAAGGGCAGGAGTGAAGAGGCATGCATTGAGGGACTCAAAAGAATCCCCCCCAGAAACACCTGCAACACAGAAGATGCCTCTTGCCACTCAAGCCAGAAGGGCAAAGTTCATACTCCCGCACAAATGCTCAAGAAACCGCCGAGCATTTGCAGGTATGACAGAAACCGTACCAAGCCCCATGAAGAAAAAAAAGTCTGCCAGCCAGGATGACTCTGAAATCTTGTAACATGCCCAATAAGGGTAGGAAGAACCAGATTCCAAGGAAGCCAGATTCCTGAGGCATAAACCGGGTTAGCCAGGAGGTACACACACAGTGACTCCCCAAGCCTCTACAGGGAGAACTCGGGAGGAAGGAAACCTCCGAAGGACAAAACCAAAGAGCCCAAAGGCACTCTTAAATGATCCCCGGGGAAAAAAGCACCCAACAAACTCACACAGGGAGGGGGATTTATACAGACATAAATCCTAAGACCTTGCAAAAACAAGACCCTCTACAGAAGGCGGAGAATTCACAAAGGATCTCCTACAAAGGATCAAATGTGACCCAAGGGGCCCCAGTGACCCTGAGCCCGGGAACCGCTAACGAGGCCCTGGGGTAGAGATATCGTCCACACCCACCACCCGGGATAGAAAGGCGCCAAGGCTTCAAAACAAGGGGCCTGCTGGAAAGACCCAGAAACCTTGGCAGGAGTGAGAGGCTCAACTGCCTCTGCACCAGAGTCAGAAGGGGGCAAACTCTGGATCAGCCCAAGTCGTATCCTGAGCTCCTTGCCCCTCCTCCGAAACCCTCAGACATTTCAGAGATGGATATGGGAGGAGGAGAAGGGCGAACCAAACCCACCAGGGAAAGAAGATGAGGAGCAGATGGAACCATGGTTGAGTTTACCAACAACTCCAAAACTGGTTCCCTAAACACCAAGTGGGGCAAATCCATAGCATCCAACCAGGCCCTCAACCTAGACCCCTGCAATACAGAAAACCTCAAATGCTAAGCAGTCACCGCCTGATAACTCTGAATTTCATGAAGATAATGGGTAAGAAAAGTCACACGTGGGAAACAAGTCCCACACTACTCAGGGTCGAAGGTGTCACCGACCCAGCAGACAGCATGGTGGAGGCAAAACAAATGAATGTCGCCAGGTGGAACAGATGACTAACAACTCTCAAATTTGCACAAAGCAAGAGAGGGCTTGTAAGAGGTACACATATATACTACAACCAAGATCGCAGAGGTTTTCCAAGGCCTGCAGGTCAAGTATTCACTGCAGGAAGCCCAGGCACTGGGAATGCTATGCTGGTAACCCATGTATAATTGTATAGGCACCCCTGGCCACCAGAAGCCAACGGAAAGGCCTAAGGACCAACAAGGGGGGCGTACTGCACCAAACCTTAGGTGAAACCTAACTAGGTAAAGCAGAAAAATCTCCCAAGCAGAAACAAAAATTAAAGCCCAAAACTCCTTAGGACCCAACCATGGAGAATCGTAGCACCAACCAGACATGTAAGCTGCAGGCTCACCCACTGCATGTCGGGTAGGTGATGCAAATCACAGTGCACCCGACTAGCAATAAACACTCCCGACGTAAGCAAAGACAGACTGTTCAAGACAACTGGCTTACCTGAAGGGCGACGGCCACACAAATAAAGAGACCCCTTAAGGGAGTGCATCCCAAACACACCAGGGAAGAGAACTGGTGTACACTTCGAATTTCGAGCACATGCAGCTCGAAGCACACTAAATTCCTGGCTCATGCTGCACAAATGCATACATAAACAGCTTCAAAGGCAAACACCACTTAATTAAAATGAGAGACTGGAGTCAGAGCGACTTGAGCGGGTGACCAGACACTGGTTACATCAGTATAAGAACTGATGGTGGAGTGGTTGGCTGACCCAGTCTGCCTTCCTCTCTCCCATCCCCCTCAAATGAGGAAAAAAAGTGGGGCAAACCATAGTACAGACAGACACTTGGTTTGTGAACTAAAGTTATCCTAAAGTTCCAGTTTCATGATAAGGGTTGGGATTACATGCTTCACGAACCAAATTCGGGAAGCAAGGAAGCGGTCCGCCAGGCCTCTCACTTGCCCATAGTGGTTAGATGGCATAGTTTGCCCACCGACTATGTCGGGTGTCACCACTCTAGTGCCTTCTACCCTGTGACGTCACAGATTCACGTTCCCATTGTTCCATTGTTGTGTTCATTCCCTGACTTTGTTGAACATATCTGCACAATCTAGGAACATCTGTGCACCATGTTGGCTCCAAATGCATGCATTGTGTCAGTGATGGCTGACTGGTGGGTGGATGGGCAGGCAGAGTGGGCAGGTAGGCAGGTTTGGGGGGTTGGGATGACTGGCAGGTAGGGGTTAGCAGGTGGGTGGACGGATGGATGGATGGATGGACTGACTTAACTGGCAGGCAGGCATGTTAACTGGCTGGGTAGGCAGGCAGGCTTGGGTGGGTTCGGGCAGGTAGGCGGACAATCACAGACTGGCTGTGGTTAAACCACATCCCCGGCTACATCCTCCCCATTCCCCACCATCCAGGCGTGTGTAGACGGGCATTAATACGGTTCAGAATCTCTACTACCTTCCTACCAGATAGTGGCCTTGGAGGCAGGCTGCCCTAACTGACTGACTGACTGACTGACTGCCTGCCTGCCCAACCGACCGACCGACTGCTCTGATTTCCTTATATACAAGAAGGTACATAGGGTTTGTGAGAGTACATAAAGCTGGTGTTCTGTAAACATCAGACTCACATTGTTTACAAACTGTGATTGGTTGCTACCAGGACTGTGAATACCTAACAGCTTTTGACTCATTATGACTGACTGACTTGTGACTGGATGCTTGACTGACCAGTACAATTTGTATATGAAGTTTTTGAAAACAAAATCAAAGGGAATGAAACAAATGTCAACTAAAGAGTCTTTTGCAAAGGCTCCCAAGAAAGCTCGCACTGCCTTACCTGCACCTGACTTATCACATGTTGACCCAAATGTGTCAACATCCGAGGTTACCTTATTACCATTATTCTCCACTCCAGTCAACCCAACACCATCAACATCTCTCCTATGTAAATAACTATGCTACATCAACAATGATCATCAACATAAGAAGTGGATCAGGACTTTTTTATTTTTTTATTGGAGAGTACAAACAAAATACTGTCACATTTAGGCTATGAACCTGTCAATTTTTCTCAGACTTTTCCAAAATTTCTCGTTTATTTTTGTTTCCTACATTTCTCGTTTACGAACTTACACGGAAACTGACGTATCTCATCCTCGAGGGGTTCACAAAGCAAGTGGTCCTCTGTAGCATGAATTTTTTATTGTTTAAATTATTGGGGGGGGGGGTTCTTTTGGCAGTTTTGAGGCTAAAGTCTCGTTTCTAACCATACAGTAGTATGTTTTGACTTGCTAACTTTATGGGGGCCTTTCCTTGGTGGTGGCAGACATTAATAACTTTACATGAATAGCTTTAGGCATCGTATATACTAGCTCCATCTAGAAATCCAACATTCTGTTTGTAACTCATCTTATATGCATGTACTTTTATCTGAATAAACATTTTTATAAAAGATTTTCATAGTGCTACAGCTCCCTGCACCTCTCTGAATGGGGGCCAGGTTCTGGGTTCTGGTCTCCAGTAGGCAGACGAGAACTCTGCGACTGATAACACCTAGTAGTATGGCACTGTATCAGTGCAATATAGCTTCAGGAAGCCACTAGGGGTGCCTTCTCCCCCCCCCCCACCCCAAGAGACCAAATCATTTGCATTAATAAAAATATTATACTATTTTACATATATAATTATTTTACCCTCAATGCCTTTCTTTCCTGTGTGTCACTAATTCTGAACACTAATGCCACTACTTTAGCATATACTGTAGTGCACCCTTCTAAATCCATACCCCCTTATAATGGATCCTCCTAAGCAGTGGACTGCACTACATACTACTGTATCATACTATACTACTTGACATAGTACTGTATCTGCCAACTGGGTTTCCTTCCAAAATTCAACTTCTAAATTAAAAAAAAAAATAGTGTTGTCAGTAATAATATACCATTTTCTGGGCGTTCCCAGAAAAGGAAAGGATCCGAGGAAAAAGAGCCTTCCGAGGCTCCCTGAAGCTATTCAAACTGATATCGGTCACAGGAGTCCTTTTGCCTACCAGGACCATGAGCCAGAACCTGGTCCCCTCAGATAGGAGCAGGGAGCAATGGACTATGACCACTTTACATTTGAAGTAAGTCATAATTTCCACCAACCAGGGAAGGCACCGAGAAAGATAGGCGAAACAAAGCGGACCATAATCAAGTGAAAATTGCTACCTACATTCAACAAGAGCAAAACAACTCTCAAAACAAAAACAAACGAGCAATACTCCATCCAACTAGCACTCCTCATTAGTGCTTCCCCCTCCTCCGAGCCAGCAGCCCATTACGACAGTTTTTGACAATGAAAACTGCGGACCGGAGGGAGGGAGGGAGGGAGGGAGGGTGTCAGGGAGCCTCCGGGGCTTGCCCAGAAAATGGCATTTTATTATATTCAACACTGGTTTCCTGTGGGGAGTCCTGTTGTCTGTTGTAGCTAGCTACAGGAAGCCAAGTAAAAAACAGGGACTACCTGTATCTATCTGTCCAAAAATGACAGTTTCTCGATTGGGGCTCGTTCGGATACTTGAGTTCGGGAAGTGCAAAGTTTGCATAAAATGGTTCAGATATCTCATCAAGCAAGCGTCTGCCAGGCCTCGCAGCCCGGGGTTGTGGTGGGTGGTTGTATGGAAGATGGGTCTAGTTTGCCCACTGACTGAATGGTGAGTTTGAGCAACGGTGAGTTTGAGCAACGGTGAGTTTGAAACTATGGACATGATGTACCTGTACAATTTGTATATGAAGTTTTTGAAAACAAGAGCAAAGGGACTGAAACAAATATCAATTAAACTCTTTAGGAAAGGCTTCCAAGAAAGCTAGCACTGCCCCCACCTGCACCCGATTCATTACATGTTGACCCAAATGCTTCAACAACCGAGGTTACCTCATCACCATTAATCTGCATTTCAGTCAACCCAACACCAACATTCACCACCACCTCTTCCATGTAGTCCCCGTGGTGTAGTGTTATGACGTTCGCCTGGCGTCTCGCGAGTGCTTCATCCTGGGTTCCTATCCTGGCTGGGGAAGATTTACTGGGTGCAAATCCTTAACTGTAGCCTCTGTTTAACCCAACAGTAAAATGGGTACCTGGTTGTTAAAACAATTTGGCGGGTCGTATTCCAGAACACAGGATTAAGGACTTGCCTGAAACGCTATGCGTGCTTCAAGAATGTAAGAACTTTTGAATATATAAATAAATAAATAAATGCAAATAACAATACTCTGTCAACAATGATAATCAAGATATTAAGTGGATCGGGACTTCTCGTATTGGTGAGTACTGTACAAATAAAATACAGTACAGTTCAATTTATGCTATGAACATGTCAATTATTTCCCAAGTCTCAGCCCCGAGGGGTTCATAAAGCACATGGTTGTGTGTACAGATGAATACTTTAATGTGCAAAAGTCTAATAATACCAACCTTCCCAACATCCTTCACCAGGTTGTCAATCCTCTGCGGATCATCAACAGATATTTGCTCCTCTGCTGTCTGTAAATAATAAATAAAAAATTTGTTTTTATTTCAACAGGATAAAAAAAAAAAATTCTTTCACTCTAGTAAAGGGTTAACAATAAGGAAAAACCAGCATCTAATGTAATGAAACGCCATTTTCTGGGTGAGACCTGGAGACTCCCCGGAGCTTACTAGGCTAATATGCTAATGTCAGACTTTGGCATCAGTCATGTGTATGGAGTTCTAGGGCCTACCGGGGACCACAAGCCAGTACCTGGCCCCCTCAGAAGAGGCAAGGGGAGCAATGGCCTATAGAAACCCCCATGTGGTTGGAAGCATTCTATGTCTGCCATCGACCGGGTCAGGCACCCAGAAAGGCAAGCATCCCAAAACAAACCCTTATTCTGGTGAAAACATTGCTACCAAAAACCGAACAAGTGGATAGAACTCCCCTAAACGAAACAAGCAAACGATCATCACGTCACACATCACCGTGTCGTTGTTGGCGCAGCTCGCCCCCTCCCCGGGAGGGTAAGAGGGAGCCCCAGACCCCACACGCCAGCTATCCACCCTTTAGTTCTTAGGCTGGATGTCAAAACACGCGTAAAACTGCCAACCGGAGGGAGGGAGGGAGGGAGGGATGCCAGGGAGCCTCCGGGTCTCACCCAGAAAATAGCGTTTCATTACATTCAACGCTGGTTTTCTGGAGGGGAGCCCCTTCGGCTCCCCGGAGCTAACTACCCACAGAGGAAAATTTAGGGACTTACCTGGGAGGCGGTCACTGCTCACTCAACTCAAAGTCAAGACAACTAGCTGCAACTGCCGACCCAAAACGACAGGCCCGACTAGGCCCAGGGACGTTCACAAGGTAACGAGCAGCTAGGACCCTGTTCGACCTCCAAAAGCCCCGCACCCGAATGTCAAACAGCACAGAAGTAACATCAATACCGAAAGCAAGCTGAAGCGGCCAGTGCCGCACGATATGAGGTGACAGTATGGGGCAAGATGACAGCCCCAAGCCTTCACAAGAGAAAGACAAGACAACACCAACATCGCAGCTACCAAAGAAGGGACAGAAGAAAAGGAGGGACTGCCAAAAACCCCACACTGCCGCCAAGAAGAAGCATGCAGGTGGGACACCATTAACAAAGCCACCCTGACCACCAACAGAAGGCGAGAGACTCGAGGCAGAACCGAACCGGCCCCGCCATATGCCAATTGAGCCTAGGAAGAAGTGGAGCCACGGGAAGATCTCGGGTGCGACCACGGAGCCAGCAGAGCCAGAAACCCAAGCCGGCAAAGGAGGAGATGGAACGTCCACCTTACAGAAAAACATCCCAACGCTGACGAGCCCGCCAGGAGATCGGAGACTACAGTCCCGACGCGCGATTCTAGAGAAGGGAAACCGAGACTGTGAAAACGCCAACAGGCCAGGTAAGTCAGGAAACCAGGAACCCAAACCTGGCAATTGGAGAGCCAAAAGGCACAAACAAAACACACAACCATGTGTAAGATAAAATGAGAAAATGAAAAAACACAGGAAAAGACCAGAAGAAAAGGCCACAGCACCAACGGCCAGGGAAAAGAGCGTAGAAGGAAGATGAGGAATGAAGAAGGCAAGTAGCAAAATGGGAATGAAAGGGACATGACCAACAACACACACAGCTGCTGGTCACATCCCAACAAACCATGTCAACAACAAAGTTGTGTGACACGCCCCAACACAAGACGAAAAGGAAAAAAGGCGCAAAGGTACGCCAACAGACCAGTACCCGAACCAAGGAGTACGAGCCACGAGGATATAATCACCACATGTAAGATTCCCAAAGGAAGTAATAAAGTAGCGAAAGACCGACTACGGGACCCCAGGGGCACACACACCAGGGGACACCGGTGGAATGAGCGCCCAAACGAGCCAAAGAGAAATGGGAAAGACGGATTGCAGTTGACCAGACCACACACTAAAAGGTGAAGGGACGACGTCATCCCTTCACCTTCTAGTGTGTGGTCTGGTCAACATACTTCAGCCACGTTATTGTGACTCATCGCCTGCATAAGGATTGCAGTGTCAGAGTAGTAGACAAGCGGAACGCAAGAGGAAGTGACACCACACACAGCTTCAAGCGCAGATAAGATAGGGCCCAGCAGGCTCATGAACCTGCACATGAGCGAATGACACGTGAGAAGCAGGACCAAAAAGCCAGAGCTCAACTCCCGCAAACACAACTAGTGAAGGACAACTAGGTAAATACTGTACAGAGAATCCAATGTATATGGAAGGGCTAAATCAGGCACTGCAAGACATGCAAGGAATGAGTGACCCAGAGAAGACCACGAAAAATGGGCCCCGTGACTCCCCTTACAACCATTAATCCAGATGAACAAGTAAGGCCCCAGGAAGAAGCACGGAAGGGCCAAACAAAAATCCTAAACCAATCCCCAACACGCATCCACAGCATGAAAACTGCAGCAAAGTGTCACCTCGGAACATCCAGACATGAACACTTACCCCATAACATATACCCCACCAATGTATCTCGTAACCTGGTGGAGGTAGGACCCCCTATCTGGACTCAAGCATGGGCTGGACATGCATAAGAGTGGGACTGGATGGGCATAAATTGGAGCTGCCTCATTATGGCCCAATAGGCCTGCTGAAGTCACCTGTGCCATGATGTTCGTATATTCGTATCCAAAAACACCAGCCAGCGCCTGGCCGAAGGAGAAGCCAGACCGCATAAACTCACTTGCAGAACATAGGCACGAACGTGTCACGACACAACGTAGCCGAGAAGATTCCGGAAGCACTGCCAGTGGAAGAAGGCAGAGCCACACTGGCAGGAGAAGAATAGGGGAGAGGCGAAGGAGGAGCCCCACACCCATACGCAGGTAAAACCCAGCGTCCTCCCCAAAGCGGCAAATCACAACACCCCCAGGAGTTACAGGACACAGACTGGAGAAGCAAGAAGAGCGAAAGGCACAGCACCCGAGAGAAAAAGGGATGCAAAATCCCAGCTCACGTGCACACCGCCCGTGTCAAAACAAACAACCACGGTGTATGCGCACCAGGGATACCAGATGTGGATTGCCAGAAGTCGTGAGCTGAAGAAAGAAACTAAAAACTGAGAAACTGGGGGGGGGGACCCCACTCCTCGTAACCACAAGCCCTGCCCAGAGGGTAGAAAAACCCAGGCGGGGACCAAATATCAGCCCCTCACCAGCCCCGGGAACCCACAAGGCAGGTCCCGGGGCCGAGCCATTCCCCCAAAGCCCCAGCCTCACAAGAAAAGCCCAGGCAACCGGACAAGTACTAAGGAAGGGAGCCCACTGGCAGACTCATACAACACAGCTGGAGGAACAGGCTCGAATGCCTCCGTCGCTACCCCAGAAGGGGGAAATCCCGAAACCGCCTGAGTCTCAAGACCACAACAGGGAAAAGACAAGGGGGCGTGGAAGGAACCAAACCAAAGCATCCAACACCCCCAAGCCCCGTCACACCAACCAAAACAAGGCAGCCCTGAGGCTCCCGGGGAGCAACCGACCGAGCAACCTACCTACCTTGAGGCTACCTTGAGGTGCTTCCGGGGCTTAGTGTCCCCGCGGCCCGGTCGTCGACCAGGCCTCCTGGTTGCTGGACTGATCAACCAGGCTGTTAGACGCGGCTGCTCGCAGCCTGACGTATGAGTCACAGCCTGGTTGATCAGGTATCCTTTGGAGGTGCTTATCCAGTTCTCTCTTGAACACTGTGAGGGGTTTGCCAGTTATGCCCCTTATGTGTAGTGGAAGCGTGTTGAACAGTCTCGGGCCTCTGATGTTGATAGAGTTCTCTCTCAGAGTACCTGTTGCACCTCTGCTTTTCAACGGGGGTATTCTGCACATCCTGCCATGTCTTCTGGTCTCATGTGGTGTTATTTCTGTGTGCAGGTTTGGGACCAGCCCCTCAATTATTTTCCACGTGTAAATTATTATGTATCTCTCCCGCCTGCGCTCAAGGGAGTACAGATTTAGGCTCTTTAGTCGGTCCCAGTAATTTAGATGTTTTACCGAGTGGATTCTAGCAGTAAAGGATCTCTGCACGCTCTCTAGGTCAGCAATTTCTCCAGCTTTGAAAGGGGCTGTCATTGTGCAGCAGTACTCCACTCTAGATAGCACAAGCGTTTTGAAAAGTATCATCATCGGTATAGCATCTCTAGTGTGAAAAGTACTTGTTATCCAACCTGTCATTTTTCTTGCAGTTGTGACGGCTACTTTATTGTGTTCTTTAAAGGTAAGGTCTTCCGACATGAGTACACCCAGGTCCTTTACATTGCCTTTTCGTTCTATGTTATGATTTGCCTGCGTTTTGTACGTGGTTCCTGTTTTTATGTTTTCAATTTTTCCGTAGCGCATGAGCTGAAACTTATCCTCGTTGAATACCATATTATTTTCTGTAGCCCATAGAAAGACCTGATCAACATCTGATTGGAGGTTTGCCGTGTCCTCTATGTTGCCAACTCTCATGAAAATCCTAGTGTCATCTGCAAAGGATGATACAGTGCTATAGGTTGTGTTCTGGTCTATGTCCGATATGAGGATGAGAAAAAGTACTGGAGCAAGCACAGTACCCTGGGGGACTGAGCTCTTCACGGTTGATGGGCTGGATTTTATTTTGTTGACTATTACACATTGGGTTCTGTCAGTCAGGAAATTGTAGATCCATCTGCCTATTTTCCCGGTAATTCCTTTTGAACGCATTTTATGTGCAATAACACCATGGTCACATTTATCAAAAGCTTTTGCGAGCAACCGACCGAGCATGTTGCACCACTGAAACTCAACTTGCAACGCCCATTGCATGTTGCCTATGTTGCCTGCACCCACATAGTCAGCATAAGACTGGGTAATCAAACCACAAACAAGCAACAAAACTCGCAGGGCTCCGGGCCGAAGGTGCCACCGACCCCACAGGCAACAGACGGAGGCAAAACGGTGAGAGTTATCTTGAGACAAGGGGACAAAGCAACCCTCGAACTCACACAAAGCGAGGGGGAACTCCGGGGCCACATCCATTGGACCCTCCATGCCCCCTCGGGGTTTCCCAGGGTCCTGAGCGTTTACCTACAGGGACTCACGCCCAGGTACTGTAATCCCAGGCAGGGTACTGCTAACCGGCGCCCAAGTCTACCAATATGGAGAAAGAGCCTGGATACAGGCTCTTTCCTGTATCCTCCAGGTTCTCAAACCAGCTGCACTTAAATCAGCACTTGTAGTTCCGCTGCACAAGGGAGGTAGTAAAGCCTTGGCAAAAAAAACTATAGACCAGTTGAACTAACATCTCACATAATAAAAGTTTTTGAAAGAGTGATTAGGAATCAAATTTCTAGTTTTATGGAAAATAATGAGCTACACACTGCACTGCCAGGACAACATGGATTTAAAGCGGGATGATCCTGTCTGTCACAGTTACTCAACCACTATGACAAAATCACAGAAGCTCTAGAAGAAAAGCAAAATGCAGATGTAGTATACACAGACTTTGCAAAGGCATTCGACAAATGTGACCATGGAGTGATAGCACACAAAATGAGGTCAATTGGAATAATTGGTAACGTAGGACGCTGGATACTCAATTTCCTGTCGAACAGAACACAAAGAGTAACAGTCAATCAAATTAAATCGAGCCCAAGCGCAGTTAAAAGCTGTGTACCTCAGGGTACGGTCCTTGCACCACTGCTTTTCCATATTCTCATATCAGATATAGACAAAAATACAAGTCACAGCTTTGTGTCATCCTTTGCAGATGACACAAATATCAGCATGAAAATTACCTCTGCGGAAGACATTGAAGAACTACAAGCAGGTATCAACAAAGTTTTCGATTGGGCAGCAGAAAATAACATGACGTTTAACAGTGATAAATTCCAGGTACAGTACTTAGGAATGGCAAAAATGAGGATCTGAAACATAATACAGGGTACAAAACACATTCGAATCTGCCCACAGTAGGAAAACAGCATGTCAAGTATTTGGGAATAATGATGTCCGACGACCTAACGTTTAGGGAGCATAACCAAGCAAATATTGCGGCAGCCAGAAAAAATTATAGGATGGATTACAAGACCTTTCAAATCCAGGGATCCCATCACAAGGATTGTACTCTTCAAGTCACTTGTGATGTCCCATCTTGAGTACCCATCTCAGTACACCCTTCCCACTTCAGAGCAGGAAAGATTGCTGAAATAGAGGGAATACAGAGAACATATATGGCACGCATAGACGTGATAAAGCACCTAAATTATTGGGATCGTCTCAAAGCTCTCCACATACTCACTAGAAAGGAGATGAGAGAGATACCAAATAATATACACATGGAAAATACTGGAGGGCCAGGTCCCAAATCTACACAGTAAAATAACATACTGGAGTGAACGATATGGAAGAAAATGCAGAGTAGAACCAGTGAAGAGCAGAGGTGCCATAGGCACAATCAGAGAACACTGTATAAACATCAGAGGTCCGCGGTTGTTCAACATCCTCCCAGTGACTATAAGAAATATTGCCGGAACAACCGTGGACATCTTCAAGAGAAAACTAAACTGTTTTCTAAAAAACCTGCTTTAGCAACCGGGCTGTGGTGGGTATGTGGGCCTGCGGGCCGCTTCAAGTAACAGCCTGGTGGACCAAACTCTCACAAGTCAAGCCTGGCCTCAGGCTGGGCTTGGGGAGTAGATGAACTCCCAGAACCCCATCAAGCAAGTATCAAGCAGGTACAAAGGCCCAAGCTGGGGCAACTAGTGCCCCCACCCTGAGCCCCAAGAACCCCCAACAGAGCCACTGGAGCAGAGCCTGCATCCACGCCCACCACCCCTGAAGAAAAGGCAAAACTCAGGGGAAAATATTCAAAGAAGGGAATCAGCTGGGTCAGCCTCATCAAGCTAAGCCTGAACTAGAACCAACCCGGCTCCGAAACCCTCAGACGTTTGAGAGCCAGAAGCAGGGGGAAAAGGAGCAGGGCAAACCACACTCACCTGGGAAAAAAACAATGGCGTGGATGGAACAATGGTTGAAGTAACCAACACCCCAAAATCCCAGTCCCTAAAACCCAAGCAGGGCAGCTCCGGGGCTTCCAACCTGGCACGTTGCAACAAAGAAAACTGTGGATGCAATGCAGCCACTGCCTAACCCTGAACATCTTCAGATGAGAATGAGTAAAATGAATAACAAGCGGAGAACAAATCCTGCAAGACTCGGGGAGCGTAGGTGTCACTGACTCAATATGCAGCATGACTGAGGCAAGACGGGTGATAGTCACCATGAGGCAGAGGCAACGGCATCACACAAGGCAAGACTGAGCTCAGAAGACGCATCCATGGTACCCCCGAGCTCAATGGTATTTTCCAAGGTCTGTAGGGTACGTTACTCCTACCAGAAGCCCAGGCACTAGGGCTAGCCAAGCTGGTAAACCCTGCCTGTTGCAGGTAAGCTGACAACTAGCAGTCACCGTGAAACCTTGGGGCAACAGAGGAGGACCACCAACAGCCTAGGTAGGCCTAATGGGAAGCTAGGCAGACCTTCACCAAAGTCAAGCTAATACGCTAAAAACAAAACAAAACAAAAGTCCCCGAAGCAACACAAACAAACAAACCTGTCACCAGAGAGAGTCGTCAGCCGCCGCTGTATGTAGGCTGCGCCAGCCACAGTGTGCCCTACCCAGCAAAAACGCACTCCCTACCCGGGGCAAGACGGAAAGCCCAAGACCCCAACGTACCCCATGGGGAATAACAACGCCAAACGACGAAGCCCTCAAACGGGAGTAAGACCCGAACATCCCAGGGATGATAATCCTAGAACACAAGGGAAGGTAGCTGTAGGCACATGCAGCACTGCATACAGAGAACACCTGGCCATCACTCCACACTCAGCTCGCAAAGCCACAAACGCAAAAGCCAGTCAAGAAAGCGAGGCAAGAGGAGACTTGTTGACACCAGGCACATCAGTCACGAACTTGTGGGGAGAGCTGCCAGCTCACCTGAGCGGGTGTCCCCTCCCCTTTTTCTGAGAGTGTGGTTGTACTAACGAATAAGTACACTAGTTGGATAACAATTTGCTTGTTTGTTTTCTTGTGGGGTGAGGATGGGGGGTCCTTTGGCTCTGTTTGGACATAGGTTGCAATTTTTACCAGTAGAGGTTTTGTATTTTTTTGCCTACCTTTCTGGGTGCTTTCTCTGGTTGATGGTAGACATGACATACTCTAAATGTATTGTGCTCGTAAGGCCATTGCTCCCTGTGCCTCTCCGAGGGGGCCAGGTACTGGCTCGTTGTCCCCAGTAGGCACACAAGGTGGATGGATTATAGGTTTGCACTTGTATACCAATACTGTATGCCTTGTGTATCATGATACATTACACAAAAATGAGATCTGGTTGTTTCAGACTATACCATTTTACGTCAGTTGCTTGCCATATACTCTATATCTAATCTATGGCTGTCACTTGACTTAATGGATACTTGACTCATAGCTAACAAATTAGTACCGACTGGTACTTTATAACCAATATACATACCTTCATTAGTGTTTTAATTGGCTCTATTATCACCAAGTACTGGTAATTCGGATTACGGTAACCCAAACCTTTGAGAAATCTGAATGAATTGACATCAAAGTTTTATTTTTACCCTCCTGGACCTTTTATCTTGAATGGGGGATTCAGGTTAACAGGATTTTACTTGGCGAGAAATCTGAATGAATTGACATCAAAGTTTTATTTTTACCCTCCTGGACCTTTTATCATGAATGGGGGATTCAGGTTAACAGGATTTTACTTGGCGAGAAATCTGAATGAATTGACATCAAAGTTTGATTTTTACCCTCCTGGACCTTTTATCATGAATGGGGGATTCAGGTTAACAGGATTGTACTTGGCGAGAAATCTGAATGAATTGACATCAAAGTTTGATTTTTACCCTCCTGGACCTTTTATCTTGAATGGGGGATTCAGGTTAACAGAATTGTACTTGGCGAGAAATCAGAATGTATTTGGGATCAAGTTTTCGACTGCTCAACTCAAATAAAAATTTGAGTTACCAAGACTTCTGGCAAATAAATACTAGAATAAATTGCAAAAATTTTAACCGAGATCTTGAGATGATTTCGGGGCTTTAGTGTCCCTGCGGCCCGGTCCACGACCAGGCCTCCACCCCCAGGAAGCAGCCCGTGACAGCTGACTAACACCCAGGTACCTATTTTACTGCTAGGTAACAGGGGCATAGGGTGAAAGAAACTCTGCCCATTGTTTCTCGCCGGCGCCTGGGATCGAACCCAGGACCACAGGATCACAAGTCCAGCGTGCTGTCCGCTCGGCCGACCGGCTAATTGTTTAACTTTCTAGGTAAAAAGAACTATTTGTGAAGATACATAAGTTATAAGTAATATTAATTTAATAATATCCTATTTAAGTAATAATATCAATAATTATAATATTTAAAAAAATGCACGCAAGTATACCCGGTACTGTATAAGAATTAAGGAAACTGCAGAAAGCCTTTTGGCAGCTCAAGGCAGCTCAAGGCAGCTCAAGGCAGCTCTTATGTGACAAACTGCATACACACACACCTTTAAGAGTTCAAGATCATCATCAGCGTGGTCAGGTGTCAACCCGTTGTAGCGGCCAGCTATTCGCAGCACCATAAACACACTCCCAACGGCCTGAGTCCGCACTTGAGAGCAAGGATCCGCTACACGAGGAGTTAGGAATGCTAGAAGATGACACGTCTGGTTGAAGTTTGTTGGACCCTGTATTATCAAATAAAATGTAATGAAACGTCTGGATGGTCAAACTTTATTTTAAAATGTTGTAAAAATAGGTTTGAAGGTGTCTGCAGGAAGACAGTGGGGGAAAGGGGGCCAGGTTCCTGCAGGGAGAGGGGGGGGAGGGGGGGGCAGGTTCCTACAGGGAGATGGGGGGGAGGGGAGGCTGGTTCCTGCAGGGAGCCAGTGGGAGGGGAGGCTGGTTCCTGCAGGGAGCCAGTGGGAGGGGAGGCTGGTTCCTGCAGGGAGCCAGTGGGAGGGGAGGCTGGTTCCTGCAGGGAGCCAGTGGGAGGGGAGGCTGGTTCCTGCAGGGAGCCAGTGGGAGGGGAGGCTGGTTCCTGCAGGGAGCCAGTGGGAGGGGAGGCTGGTTCCTGCAGGGAGCCAGTGGGTGGGGGGGAGGGATGGGGAAGGCACATGCAGGGAGACAGGGGGAATGGGGGGGAGTGCCTGCAGGGAGACGGGGAAGGCGCTGGGTCTGCAGTGTGAAGACAAATGATGATGGGTGCCTGGACCAATCTCCTTTCCTTACTTCAAGGGGTTGCTCAACATTTATATTAAAGAATGGATGCACAATAGTGCATAGGATTTAACCAAAGCTCTCAATCAAAATTATCAGTTTATAAGAAAGGATAGGATGAATATTATGTAGCTCCGAGCTACATACAAAGACTGCTATAATACTAAGATGGTGAGGATCAATAAGCTCAAGACAGTGTAGCATGAATCAAGTAAATAAAATGTTAAATATGTCATTATATATATCTTGTTCGCATTAAAGCCATACCTCGATTGTTAAGGCCAGATGATCATAATATGTTCGCAATGCTGCATGAAGGAGTTCAACACACTTTATCCTGATCAGTTCAGTCGGGGCAATTGTCCACGACTGAAGCAACGTCGTTACATCATCCAGGGTGGCAGGATTGGTGTCTTTTTGTATTATTGTTCTGTAATATCAATAATATCTTATAGTAATTCCACACAAAATTAATGACTGTTGATATAAAAGTAATCTTAAAACACAGTTTATCTAAAACTATATGACTGACAGTATATTATACTGCAATTACTGCATTCACTTCATTTAAATGGGTTAATCCAATTTCATAATTTGTACTTGATCATAATTAGAACATTTTTGTAAAGTTGAAAATGTTTTAGTAGCCATCATGCCACAGAATTGCACTCCCAGGTCCATATACTACATGAACGTCACCTCTTCTGCTACACGCTCCCAAGAAAAATACTGTACACATGTAGATGGAGTCCAGAAACGGCATTAACTTCAATACCAGCTCCACTTCTCCCCCAACACCACTGTCAACACTTTATGCTCGGTGATGGAGAAGATCGTGAGAAAAAACCTAGTAACACATCTGGAGAGAAGGGACTTCATGACAAATCGACAACATGGATTCAGGGAGGGTAAATCTTGCCCGACTGGTTTAATAGAATTCTATGACCAGATGACAAAGATTAAGCAAGAAAGAGAAGGATGGGCGGACTGCATTTTCTTGGATTGTCGGAAAGCCTTTGACACAGTACCGCATAAGAGACTGGTACATAGGCTGGAGAGACAGGCAGGTGTAGCTGGTAAGGTGCTCCAGTGGATAAGGGAATACCTAAGCAATAGGAAGCAGAGAGTTACGGTGAGGGGTGAGACCTCAGATTGGCGTGAAGTCACCAGTGGAGTCCCACAGGGCTCTGTACTCGGTCCTATCTTGTTTCTGATATGTAAATGATCTCCCAGAGGGTATAGATTCATTTCTCTAAATGTTTGCCGACGATGCCAAAATTATGAGAAGGATTAAGACAGAGGAGGACTGCTTGAGGCTTCAAGAAGACCTAGACAAGCTGAAGGAACGGTCGAACAAATGGTTGTTAGAGTTTAACCCAAGCAAATGTAATGTAATAAAGATAGGCGTAGGGAGCAGGAGGCCAGATACTAGGTATCATCTGGGAGATTAAATTTTTCACGAGTCAGAGAGAAAAAGCCTTGGGGGTTGACATCATGCCAGACCTGTCCCCTGCAGCCCATATCAAGAGGATAACATCAGCGGCATATACCAGGCTGGCCAACATAAGAACAGCATTCAGAAACTTGTGTAAGGAATCATTCAGAACTTTGTATACCACATATGTCAGGCCAATCCTGGAGTATGCAGCCTCAGCATGAAGTCTATATCTAGTCAAGGATAAGACCTAACTGGAAAAGGTTCAAAGGTTTGCCACCAGACTAGTACCCGAGCTGAGAGGTATGAGCTACGAGGAGAGGCTACAGGAATTAAACCTCACTTCGCTGGAAGACAGTAGAGTTGGGGGAACATGATCACCACATTTAAGATTCTCAAGGGAATTGATAAGGTAGATAAAGACAGTCTATTTAACACAAGGGGCATACGTACTAGGGGACACAGGTGGAAACTGAGTGCCCAAATGAGCCACAGAGATATTAGAAAGAACTTTTTTAGTGTCAAAGTGGTTGACAAATGGAATGCATTAGGAAGTGATGTGGTGGAGGCTGACTCTATACACAGTTTCAAGTGTAGATATGATAGAGCCCAACAGGCTCAGGAACCTGTACACCTGTTGATTGATGGTCGAGAGGCAGGACCAAAGAGCCAGAGCTCAATCCCGCAAACACAATTAGGTGAATACACACACACACACACACACGGTTTAGTGAAAGACTTGCGCAAGGATAAGAATCAATTGGAAACAAATTGCAAAGCCATGGAAGAAGAAAATAAACTCTTAAAAATAGCTTTGGAAGAAGTTAAAGTAAATTTAAACATAAATGACTACAATAGGTTAGGCAAGGAAATTCAACAGGAGAAACAGCTTTTGTCAGCACAGATGGAGGAAGTTACACAGGGAATAGAACAGTGCAAGAAAGATATGCAACTCACTTATGCACAAGTGGCCAAGGAGAAGGAAAAAATAGAAGAAGCAGTAAAGGAAGTCAAACACTGCAGCAACCAAGATAAAACAAACATTAGGCTAGAAGTGAGGAAAGAATTGGCATCTAACCCGAAGTTGGTGCAAAACACAGTTGATCGGAGTAAGTCCCTGATCATTTTTGGCTGCAAAGAAAAGGCGATAACATCTAGGTCAGAAAGAGCTGTAGAAGAAGCTAAAGTAGTAGATAAAATTGTTGGCCTCGTGGAAGGTCTTACAAACAGAGAGAATGTGTGCGACTACAGGAGAATAGGCAGGTACGTAAAAGGGAAAGATCGACCTTTGAGGATCACCCTAAACGGTGCCAAACAGATGGAAGAAGTACTAAGGAATGCTAGAAAATTGCAAAGGGATGAGGATGGGAAAGGGTGGTCGTTAAGACGAGATCTTTCAAAAGAAGATAGAGAGAAGCTGAAACTGAACCTCGCCGAGGCAAAACATTTAAATGAGAGCAGGAATGAAGAAGAAATAAATTCTTTTTTCTACAAAGTGATAGGGGTAGGCAAACCAGTAAAGTGGTACATAAAGGCAAACCAACAAAATCAATAGAGAGAGGGGGAGTGAAGAATAAGGAGAGGGGGAACAAGTTCCTGAAGATTGCATACACCAACATAGATGGAGTGAGATCGAAGATACTGGAGTTAAGTGATGTAATACAGCTGCAGACACCAGACATTGTTGCACTCACGGAGACAAAACTTGAAGATGTAATTTTAAATGAGGTCATATTCCCAAGGGGCTACTCAATTTGGAGACGGGACAGAAAAATTAGGAAAGGCGGTGGCGTTGCTGTGCTGGTAAAAGAACACCTAAAGGTGAAGGAAATAATGACTGCCAAGCCACAAGAAGTTGACATAATAGCACTAGAGATCTGCTATGAGGATGATAAACTAATGATGATAAATGCATATAGTCCACCGCCAAGCAGCACATGGTCAAAGGAGGAGCTAGATAGTAAACGTGAAGGTCTTATAACAATAATGAGAGAGATTATAGCGAGAGCGGATAACGATAGATCACGACTGTTGATAGTCGGTGACTTCAACTTGAAATCCATAGACTGGGAAGCATATGAAGCTAAAACAGAAGATTTTTGGACCTGTAAATTTGTAGACCTCATCCTGGAAACATTCTTGTATCAACATGTTAAACAAGCTACGAGGATGAGGGAAGGGGACGTTCCCTCCATGCTAGATTTGATATTTACCAGGAAGGAGGAAGAGATATTTGACATTCAGTACCTTCCTCCCTTGGGTAAAAGTGACCATGTCTTTTTGGGAATAAAGTATGCAATGCGTTATAAGCTGGAAGAAAATAAGGAGGTTGAAGCAGTTGAAAAACCAGACTTCAGGAGAGGACATTATGGTGACCTTAGAAATTTTTTTAGTGAGTATAATTGGACAGACTTGATGCTAGGCAAGGAAGTGAATGAGATGTATGGCAAGTTTTGTGAAATATATGATAAAGGCACAAAAAAATTTATACCAAAACAGAGATGCAGAACTAGGAAACAGGATTGGTTCAATAGAAATTGCGAGAGGGCTAGAGACCGAAAGACACAAAAATGGAATCAATACAGGAAGAGGCCGAACCCCCAAACATACCAGCGATACAAAGATGCGAGAAACAACTACACGGCAGTGAGGAGAGAGGCAGAAAGAAATTTTGAAAAAGGGATTGCGGACAAATGTAAAACAGAACCAGGTCTATTCTATAAATTCATAAACAACAAATTGCAGGTAAAGGATAATATTCAGAGGTTGAAAATGGGAAATAGATTTACGGAAGATGAAAAGGAAATGTGTGAAACACTAAACGAAAAGTTCCAAAGTGTGTTTGTACAAAATGAAATCTTTAGGGAACCAGATACAATAAGAATTCCAGAGAACAACATAGAACACATAGAGGTGTCTAGAGACGAAGTGGAAAAAATGCTCAAGGAGCTCGGTAAGAACAAAGCAGCTGGCCCAGATGGCGTTTCACCATGGGTTCTGAGAGAATGTGCATCTGAGCTCAGCATTCCACTTCACCTGATCTTTCAGGCATCCCTGTGTACAGGAATCGTAGCAGACGGGTGGAAACAGGCTAACATAGTTCCAATCTACAAAAGTGGCAGCAGGGAAGACCCCCTCAATTATAGACCTGTATCATTGACAAGTGTAATAGTGAAAGTATTGGAAAAACTAATCAAAACTAAATGGGTAGAACACCTAGAGAGAAATGATATAATATCAGACAGACAGTATGGTTTTCGATCTGGAAGATCCTGTGTATCGAATTTACTCAGTTTCTATGATCGAGCCACAGAGATATTACAGGAAAGAGATGGTTGGGTTGACTGCATCTATCTGGACCTAAAAAAGGCTTTCGACAGAGTTCCACATAAGAGGTTGTTCTGGAAACTGGAAAATATTGGAGGGGTGACAGGTAAGCTTCTATCATGGATGAAAAATTTTCTGACTGATAGAAAAATGAGGGCAGTAATCAGAGGCAATGTATCAGAATGGAGAAATGTCACAAGTGGAGTACCACAGGGTTCAGTTCTTGCACCAGTGATGTTTATTGTGTACATAAATGATCTACCAGTTGGTATACAGAATTATATGAACATGTTTGCTGATGATGCTAAGATAATAGGAAGGATAAGAAATTTAGATGACTGTCATGCCCTTCAAGAAGACCTGGACAAAATAAGTATATGGAGCACCACTTGGCAAATGGAATTTAATGTTAATAAATGTCATGTTATGGAATGTGGAATAGGAGAACATAGACCCCACACAACCTATATATTATGTGAGAAATCTTTAAAGAATTCTGATAAAGAAAGAGATCTAGGAGTGGTTCTAGATAGAAAACTATCACCTGAGGACCACATAAAGAATATTGTGCAAGGAGCCTATGCTATGCTTTCTAACTTCAGAATTGCATTTAAATACATGGATGGCGATATACTAAAGAAATTGTTCATGACTTTTGTTAGGCCAAAGCTAGAATATGCAGCTGTTGTGTGGTGCCCATATCTTAAGAAGCACATCAACAAACTGGAAAAGGTGCAAAGACATGCTACTAAGTGGCTCCCAGAACTGAAGGGCAAGAGCTACGAGGAGAGGTTAGAAGCATTAAATATGCCAAAACTAGAAGACAGAAGAAAAAGAGGTGATATGATCACTACATACAAAATAGTTACAGGAATTGATAAAATCGACAGGGAAGACTTCCTGAGACCTGGAATTTCAAGAACAAGAGGTCATAGATTTAAACTAGCTAAACACAGATGCCGAAGAAATATAAGAAAATTCACCTTCGCAAATAGAGTGGTAGACGGTTGGAACAAGTTAAGTGAGAAGGTGGTGGAGGCCAAGACCGTCAGTAGTTTCAAAGCATTATATGACAAAGAGTGCTGGGAAGACGGGACACCACGAGCGTAGCTCTCATCCTGTAACTACACTTAGGTAATTACACACACACACACACACACACACACTTATTGTTAAACAAGTACAATATTATTATACCTTGTCTTGGTTACCCCAGATCAACACACAAGCCTAAGTATTCATCATAACATTTGGTGGATTTCATACCTGAAGGACTTCCTGTAGAGGGAATAGTTCATCAAGGTTTCAGGGTAATTATGAGGGAAAAGCGCTAAGTATGACTGTATAGCACCCGAGATATGAGGATGGAGGGGAAACAACGGTGCCCGACCACTTGACCAGATCATTTTGTATACTGCCATCATTAAATCCCCCAAAAATTCAGTAGTCTTTCTTATTACCAAGAACAGTGAACAGAGGAAAATATACCTGATGAGAACACTAAGCTGAGCACAACACTTGGTGAGGTAGGAGTCCACATTATCTGCGTGAGACAAGCGTGGGAGAGTAGCAGTCAACGCTGCCTGCAGGATAATTGTTCTTTCCTCCACATTTAATTCAGGTTCAAGGGCTCTATACCATAGTTAAGGAAATAATACCAGTTAAAATTCCCCCAATCTGTAGTTAGTTATAAATACTTCCCCCTTTGTCATTCATATTATATATTACATGACAGTAGTTGCCAAAAATATATATATCGGAATTACTGTAATTCATATGGTTGTAGAGTGTACAGTATTAACAGAACATATGGCTCTTTAAAAATCACCTCAAAATACTTTACATACAAAATACAAGTTTATGAATTCCTTAAAAATATATATGTTCTGTATTAACTAAAATTATCTTTAATGTACAAGTCACAGTATAAAAAAAAATTTAATATGAGAAAATTCCAACTGTTCTTTGAGGCACCCATGTCAAAACCAATTTTAAAACTGAAAACATTGTATGTGTACTGTACTGTGAGGCAGACATGGTTTGAGGGCACGAGAGCCGCAGAGAAAAGTACTGTACAGCCATATGTACATCCGGCCGACACAGCTCGCTGCATGAAGAGGATAGGTGATGTAAAGAGTACCATTCAGCTGTACAGTGTACATAACATAAGCCACTTTAATGTGGCTGAAAATTTTGACACTAAACCCACACATCTGAAAATAAAGAAAGTGACATGTCACTCCTTTATTTTCAGATGTGTGGGTTAGGCATCTATACCGTATACCTCAATAATAATAAATAATAAATAACAATAATAAATAAACAATAATAATAAAAAGAATAATACTAATGACCAAACCACAACTCAGAAGATGGAGAAGCGACGATGTTTCAGTCCATCCTGGACCATTATCAAGTCGTGTGTGATGATTATCAAGCCACAACATCTTGAGTTGTGGTTTGGCCATCATGTCTTCGGCCACGTTATTTTGACTCATCGTCTGAATAATAATAATAATAATAATAATAATAATAATAATAATAATAATAATAAATAATAAATAAAAAGGAGTTTTATTTTCATATCGAGTGTTTTAAGTCAATATGATGAGTCTCAAAATATCACACAATAAGACCAGTGTTGAATGTAATGAAACGCCATTTTCTGTGGAGAGCCCCTTCGGCTCCCTGGAGCTATACCGGACTGATGTGTATATATTAGACCGTGGCAACAGTCAATCAAAGGAATTCTAAGCATACCGGAGCCAGAGCCAGAACCTGGCCCCCCTCAAGAGAGGCACAAGGAGCAATGGCCTAAAGACACCCCCGTGTAATTGGAAACAGTCTTTGTCTGCCATCTACCAGGGCAGGCCCCCAGAAAGGTAGGAATTCCAAAACAAACTACTGATGATCAGATAATTTGCAAACCAAAAGCCAAACTAGCAACAGAACTCCCCAATCAAAGCTAAGGAAACAAGTATGACATCACCACAAACGCTGTGCATCCGTCTGCGCAACCCCCCCCCTCCCCGGGAGGGGGACCAAGGGGGAGAGGGGGTCCCAGACCTCCACGCCGTCCCAGACCTCTCCTCAGTTCAGAAGCCGAGTATCAAAAAACGTGAAAAACCGCCGACCGCAGGGAGGGAGGGATGCCGTGGAGCCTCCGAGTCTCACCCAGAAAATGGCGTTTCATTACATTCAACGCTGGTTTTCTGTGGAGAGCCCCTTAGGCTCCCCGGGGCTACCTAACCAAAGACAAAGAAAAAGAGGGACTTACCCGGGAGGCAGTCGTCACTTGGTCCTCAACTCGAAGTCGAGACAACTGGCTGCAACCTGCGACCCAAGGCTACACACACCCGAGAAGGCATGAGAAACCGTGCAGCCAGGAACCTGTTCGACTTCCATAAGCCCGTGCCCGAATGTCAGCCTAGGACATATTCCCTACACAGCAGCCAAAGCCGCAAATTTACGAACGTCGAGGGCACTGGGATTGACCACAGGCTGGCTGAACCGAATAATCCTGCGGACGACCTAGGAGAACCACACCTCGGAACAGGGAAGAAGGGAAACCGGGTCCACCCAAAGCGTGTCCCCTGCCACGCAGGGGACACAGACACTTTGCGCAGATACTGGTGAAGAGCCGCAACTGGACACAAAACACGATGCACCCCCGGCCGAGTCAACCAAGCATCAACAACCAAAGGACCCCTTCGGAAAGCAGCAGACTGATTCTTCACCACAAAAGAAGAAGGTTGCAAACGAATGAAACGACCACCAGGACCGAAAAAGCAGACACCCCTGCGCCGGAAGAGAGCATGAAGCTCCCTGACCCAACCCCCAGAGGCCAATGCCCTCAAGAAAGGAGCCTCAGAAAAACAGTCCTGAACCGAGGGGGGCCACCACAAACCGAGAAAAGAAAAAAAAAAAAAAGAGAGCACCAGGTCCAACGACCAGGACAGCTCAGGCGGCGCATGAGCAGGCCGGAAGTGAAACAACGTCCAAAAACGCTTGCGGAACAGAACAAAAGAGACATCCACCCCAAAAGCAAGCTGCAGCAGCTTCGCCAGCGCCGCACGAAACGAGGCGACAGTATTTGGCTCAAGATGACGGTCCTGAAACAACTAAGAGAGAAAGAACAAAAAATTGCCAGAAGGACCACCAGGAAATTTCATACAGTACTGCAATTTAGACGAAACTTGCAGGTGGGACACCAACTAAGCCACCTGATCACCATACAAGTGGTGATACACCCACGTCAAAGAGACCAGACGCGAAGAGTGGAGAAGATCGAACCAGCCACGTAACAGACCGGACCGATCTGTTGAAACAGACGGAGCTGCGGGAAGACTCTTGGGTTCGGACATCGAGCAAGAAGCGCCTGAAACCAAGGCTGGCCCGGCCACCAAGGAGCCAACAGGACTACTCTCCCTTAGCAAGTCTCCAACCGAGCCAGGATCCGGAGCAACAACCAGATCGGAGGGAAAAGCTGGGAAAGAACCATATCCCTGGCGAGCAGACACGCGAAGTAGCTGGGAGCCCACACCAGCCAGTTGTCGAGATAAGCCAGAACCTGAACCCCTAACAGAAGCAAACAGGTCGCCATGACCCGGTAAGGCGTGTGAACACTCGAGGTGCCAGATTCAAGCCAAATGGAAGGCAATGAAAGCGGTAAGCTTGTCGCCCCACGACAAAACCGAGCCAGTCACTGAACCCCGGATGAATCGGAACGCGTACAATAAAATTATAAAACCAAAACGCATCCCGGAGGACCCGCGACACCATCCAGGCACCCGGTGCCACAAGCAGCCGGACCCGAGACAGAGTGGCCATCCGAAAGGAGGGGCAAAAGACCCAGAGATTCAGACTTAGACAGGTCCAGTATGAATCACAGATCCACACAGTCCCGTTTCGGAACTGAAAACCAGTGGAACTCACCTGAGGGACGTTATCGTTTCGACCACACCCAAGCGAACCCACCCCCGGATGACCTCACAGAGCACAGGAGAAGAGGCCTGCCCTGCCAGCCCTGATCCCCCTGAAGGAGGAGGAGCGACCCAACGCCACCACAGGTCAGAGGAAACAACTTGAAATGCCCACGAATCGTGAGACCAAGCGAGAGCAAACAGCGCAAGCCTCCTCCCCTATCGCCCTGTCAATGGGACAAACCGCGAAAGAGCCGATGACCCCTACAAAAGCCCAACCGACACTAAGAGCGATCACTGTGCCGACCAGAATGTTGAAGGCGCCAGACGAGGTGCCGGCCCTGAATCTGACACTACTGGCTTACGACGACCGAAGGAACCCCAAGAACTGGCACGACCCTTCTGGGCAGGACCTCCATGGTTCCCAACCCCAGAGAACCTACAAGTCCTGACAAAGGCCGTCACAGGATAAAGCCGCCTGAAAAAAAAAAGCACCACCGCAGACTCTGCAAACAGCAACGGAAAAAAAGGTGATGTAAATCTAAGAGCCAGAGCCCAAGACTATTCCAAAATTTTGGACGAGCCCCGCCTGTCAACACGAGGCGAGAAGCGAAGAACAGACGCCGCCTCCCTTAGAAATGGCACATACAACTTCACCAAAGCAGCCGGCGCCCGAGCTGCTGAAGCAAGCACACCGGACCCTGGCCCGGAACCCAGCTCCTCCACACCCAGCACGAGACAGTAGCCTGGTGGATAGCGCGCAGGACTCTTAATTCTGTGGCGCGGGTTCGATTCCCGCACGAGGCAGAAACAAATGGGCAAAGTTTCTTTCACCCTAAGTGCCCCTGTTACCTAGCAGTAAATAGGTAACTGGGAGTTAGTCAGCTGTCACAGGCTGCTTCCTGGGGTGTGTGTGTGTGTGTGGTGTGGGAAAAAAAAAAAAAAAAAAGTAGTTAGTAAAACAGTTGATTGACAGTCGAGAGGCGGGCCGAAAGAGCAAAGCTCAACCCCCGCAAAAACACAACTAGTAAACACAGTCCGAAGACAGCTCCAGCAGGGAAATGAAGCGCAAGACCAAAGCCAAGTGCCCACGGGCGCACAAATCCTCGGCCACCAGGGATGCCAAAAGGGAGCCTGCACGTGAAGCCCCACCTGGCCGACACCACAAGGAAGGACGAAAGTGAACTAGCACACCTTGAGGTGCTCCAACTCGCCCCCCCAGGAAAACCTGAACGACTGTAAGCAAATCTCGCCATTCAAGTGCACATTCCGACAGGATGAACGTCACGCCCCCCTCCAAAGAAGAAAAGGCAGTCTGCCAGCCAGGAAGACTCCGGCACTTTGTAACGCATCCAATAAAGAAAAGAGGAGCCAAACTCAAAAAGAAGGCTTCATTATCAAGGCGTAATCCGGGTCACGCAGAAGGTAAGCCGCAAGGGTCTCCCACACCTTCCATTGTAGGATGCAGGAAGCCAAAACACCTCCAGAAGGAGGGAACTGAAGAACCCAAGGGAACTCTGACCAGAACCAGGGGAGGAGTTGAATTCGTAACAAAATCATACAGGGAGGGGGAAAGGAAAAACCCCTTCCCCTGTAACAACAAGCCCTGCGTGAAGGGTACCAAACACCTAAGCAGGGGTAAGTGGGGCTCAGGCCCCCCCAAGTCAACTCCTCCCCAGCTCCAGAATCCTCCACGTCAGGACCTGGGGCCGAGCTGTCCTCCAAACCCTTTGCCTTTGGAGAAAAGGCAGAGTCCACCAGAAAAGCAGGGATGAAGGGGGCCCGCTGATGTGGCCCAAAAGCTCCAGTAGGAGGACCAGGCTCGAATGCCTCCGCCGCCGATTTGGTAGGGGCAATCCCCGAAGTCACCCGAGTCTCACTACAGTATAATTCAGTGGGGCAGCTGCGGAGCATCTGGAAAGGCAATCAACCTCGCATGTTGCTGTAACTTAAACCTTGCATGCAATGCTAAAGCTTCCTGCACCCAAATATCAGTCTCAGTGGACTGGGTGAATGGAGTACAAGCAAAGACCACCACTCGCAAGACTCCGGGGTCATAGGTGCCACTGACCCCAACAAGCAGCAAGGTGGAGGCAGATGGTGAATGTCACCCCAAAATAGGGGGACAGAGCAACTTTCAAACTCACACAAGGCGAAGAGGGACTCGGAGGTCTCCTACATTGGACCACTGAGCCCCAACGGGGATTTCCAGGGCCCTTAGGCTGACTGCTAAGGGAAGCCCAGGCGAGGTACTGCTAACCGGTTATCCCATAGCTACCAAGCAAACAATCTAAAAGCTGAAACCCTGCGATGTGTGCAAGCACGGGGACCTAGTGGAGGGCCACCAAAAACCTACCTGTGGTCCTACTGCCACACCTGGCAGACCCCCATCAGGGAACGCAAAACAAAAACAAGAGAAAAACCCCGCAAAAGTACAACGTCTCCAGGAGAACAGAACCGGTCGCTATGTGTATATCAGACAGCTGCATAGTACCTCGCGCCCCAGCCAGCGACGAAACTACCTCCTAACTCAAGGTTAACAGGAGTAAGAACCACCCCAGCTGAACCCCCCAAGGGTGGGCAATCACCGAGCAGCAACAGAACCACACGGAGGTAGCTGCTCCTGAATGGCTCATGGAAGATAACCCTGAGGCCGCAAAGGCAATACTTAAAGGGCACCTATTGAAGGCGGGCCTAGGTACATGCAGCTCCAGTACTCTTGTGTTATGTCTGTCTCACACACCACCAAAACAGAGGAACACTGCCGCACTGCAGCACTGCGCAAAGAGTGGAGTCAGAGAGATCGACCGTCACTAACACAACAGCTTCTTGAACTGAGGAGAATTGCCGGCATAAAGGTCTGGGACCCCCCCTCCCCCTTGGTCCCCCTCCCGGGGAGGGGGGGGTTGCGCAGACGGATGCACAGCGTTTGTGGTGACGTCATACTTGTTTCCTTGGTTTTGATTGGGGAGTTCTGTTGCTAGTTCGGCTTTCGGTTTGCAATTTATTTGACCAGCAGTAGTTTGTTTTGGAATTCCTACCTTTCTGGGTGCCTGCCCTGGTAGATGGCAGACAAAGACTGCTCCCAATTACACGGGGGTGTCTTTAGGCCATTGCTCCTCGTGCCTCTCTTGAGGGGGCCAGGTTCTGGCTCTGGTCCCCGGTAGGCTTAGAATTCCTTCGATTGACTGTTGCCACGGTCTAATATATACACATCAGCCCGGTATAGCTCCGGGGAGCCGAAGGGGCTCTCCACCAAAAAACGAAAACCTTGTTGTTTACATTCATCAATTTCAATAGCAGCCATACATTTTATTATAAACTGAAGTTTTAATAGTTTCAAGTCAATATAGTGAAGTGCTTAAGAGATATTGAAAGCAAATCTGTTGTAAGAGGGAACATGGCAGAAATATCAGTGGTTTTGTCAAGGAAATGCCACTATTCAGTCTGTATATCATATTAACTATGGGTTTTTGAGTACTGATGTATGCAGCAAACTATGTTACTTCAACATAAGCCAACCTTAACTTGTTTACATATCTGCAAAGCCCATATTAAAGCCTTACTGATTCTGCCTATATTAGCAGCTTATACATGCATTGTGACAAAAGGATACACAAGATCTCGAAGTCCCTGAAGGACGCTAGCCAGAACAGGATGCGGGATGTTATCAATCTTGGCAGTGTTGACGAGATGTGTGATGAGCAAAGGACGCTGGCGAAGCTTGAAACTAGGCAGCCGAACGAGGGCCCGAGCAATATTACTGACCGCATGCAGGACAGCATCATTCACGATATCACTCTATGGGAAATTACAGTATTTGAAATACTGTACACATTACATAGCAAAAATCATTAAAACAGATTACTTAACTTTACATGGAACATTTATAAACCTTCTCAGCTGCACCTTAAGATTATACTCATGTTAAGCAACACACACACAGCATAATCCACATTGGAAGCAGTAGAAGCAGTTTGCAAGGATGACTTTTGGAGAATGTGCCAGAAAAACACAATTAAAAGTATTATTTGTTATTATTTTTCCCCACTTCTAATGGAGAAAACTTAAAATTGTTAACAGAACATGGGGGTAAAATGACGCATACAAAAAAGCTGCAACCAAAGGATTAACAAACAAGTCAACAACACTGTTTATGCCCGAAACGCTTTGCGTAATAGTGGCTTTAGGCATTGTATGTACTAGCTCTACCTATAAGTCAAACAATCCTTGTAAATATTTATTGTATGTATGTACCTTACCTAAATAAAATTGTATTGTATTGTATTGTATAATACTGCACGAGCAGAAAATACATCTTGGATGCAGTAATGTAAATGTAAAATGTTCCAGGTAATATATGTGTACATTTTATTTATCTTTCATGGAAGTCCCATATCCGGATTCTCAAGTTAACCAGAAATATAGTATCCAGTTCTCTGGTCACATTTACGAGAGTTAAACTCCTTAACTCTGTTAACTCCTTGGGTGGCACAGTCTACGATACTGTCGAATTCAAAACACTTGCTTTATGAGTCTGTTGCACTAGGTTACAGCCCTTAGATTTGGAGTTCGTCTATGAGTCAAGCCTTAGTGTCAATGGAAATTGGTGACAAAGTAGTAACTATAGTAGTTAAATAAAGTGTTTAAGTGCACAATGAAATCACATTAGCTTGATATATCTATGAGAAAATCAGTAGGCGCCTTGAAGAGGACTCGAACCCACTTGCTTGGTATTCCCAAGCAGGCACCCTAGGGCACTTCATGACATGATAAAAACAATGCAATCTGGGATTCAGCCAAATTCACTGGGAGCCCTAGTGGATTCAGTGGAGTATCAAGACTCCTACTGATTTTCTTAGTGTTTAAGTACTATTTATATTTTCGATGATGGCGAGCAATGATTCCTTATGCAATTTGTCATCAAAACAAAGGGCCCATATCAATTACATGCACAAGTCATTACCCCCTCTTTAAGCACTGTACTTTCAGGACACCCAGCTGATGACATTTGAGCTTCTGAAAATAGCTTCCTTTAATTCGAATGTATAAAGTGTACTGCTTGAAGTTTTGAAGTGATTCACACTTCGGATGTCAATCTACACAGCCTAAGAGTTGAGGTGGTTCACCTCCATTTACTGGGAAATCACTCAGTGTACATATGTAGTGGGATTGTACACTTAGGCCTAGTTGACCAGACCACACACTAGAAATTGAAGGGACGACGACGTTTCGGTCCGTCCTGGACCATTCTCAAGTCGATTGTGATGAGGACAGGTAGGGACAGGCAATAAATAGGCAAGAGAGAGCTGGGGAGGAATGTCAGGTGTAGGGGATAGCTTAGGCCTAGTACCACTGCAATCCAGTCTGGGAGGGAGCATAGACAAGGTGAGCGATGGGAGCCGACCAATACAGGTCAGCCTAAGCAAGAGCAAACATTCTGGGAAGTGGCAAACAGCATGGCAGACGTTGACTACTCACATAATTCATACTTTTGAATCAACAAAATGCACCCACACAAATATTTTGTCTTGTAATTAAAGATTATTCCTCAAATAATCTAAAAACTATTTCATAAGAGGCATAAATCAAATCCTGTATTGTTATGTGTTCAAGTAATGTGGCATACTGTACGGGGGTTAAAGCCTACAATGCTATGGTTCATGCTCAGAAAAACAAACCATGTGGTCTGCCCCTCACAAGATCAGGGTTTGGTTCGTGAGCCCATTATGTACCTCTGTAACCTTTTCTACTACTGTACTATTCACATGATGGGTATGGGATGCATAACAAATGAACCTCACCAGTCCACGTCTCCTTTTAGCTTGTGATTACCCCAAGTGTGATTTACCAAAGTATAATTACCTAAATGTGGTTACAGGACAAAAATACGCTGGTGGTGTCGTGGCTTTTTCATGATCTTTGTCATATGAAGTCGAGACGTCTGATAGTTCTAGTATATGCTACCATCATTTAAATTAGTCAATCCATCTCCTAATATCTCGCTATATACTGTAGCAGCTCTCTAACCCTGTTTATGTAAGATGGCCCAAGAATGTATTTATGTTGGTTACTATTGTAACAGCACAACAATTACCTGTGGATGAGTGCTCATTAACTTGTTATGCTAAACACTGTCTAACTAATCACTAACCCTGTCCTTGGAGGGCAGAAGGAAAAATATATATGCTGGTTACCATTGTTTAAATGCCTGGCCCCCCTATCTGTGGTAGGAGGGGAAAAAAAATAAGTACCTGCATTCAAGCATACTGCATTTTTTGGCCCCTAAGTTTGTTCAACTTTAATCTATGTTGCAGACTTCAAAAATTCCTTCTATCAATTTTTGCATTCCTGTTGCAATTTTTGTATGTGTACCTTATTACTGTTGATGATGTTAAGAAGATGGAGCATGATGGGGCCGTCAACTCTACTGCCAATTTCGGCAGGAGATGCCAGAGTAGCAATCTGGCCAAGACACAGCACCAAGCCTGCGCGAACCCAAGAAGACTCGTCAATTCGGGTGTCCTGCTGTTGAGGAGAGACGTCTCTTAAAAACAGAAAGCATCTCACACTTTCATAATGCCAATAATATTCTAACCAATAACTTCACAACAGACACTAATTGCAATACAAATTACAGTACAGTAGTGTTAATAATATAATTGTCAGGGGACAAAGCCGGTACTTAGGATTATCGACACCCCTCCCCTCCTCCCCCCAGGCTAACTAATATTTTCCAGGATGGAGCCCACAACAGTTGCCTAACTACATGTCAAATACTATTACTATACTATACATACTATCCTATACTTACTATACATACTATACATGTCAAATACTATACTCACTGTATAGAGAGACTCACTATCAAATACTAGTAGTTATCTATTCTGTATGCACACACACACAATAATGGGGACATTCAAATACTGTACTTGATAAAATCAGTTTCAAGAGGACACTATGGGGAACTTAAAATTCTTTTATGAGCTTAACTGGACAGATTTGTTGCTAGGCAAAGGAAATAAATGAGATGTATGCCAAAGTTTTGTGAAATATATGATGAAGGCACACACATATATTCATACCAAAACAGAGATGCAGGACCAGGAAACAGGATTGGGTCAACAGAAATTGAGAGAGGGCCAAAGAGGAAAAGACAAGAAAATGGGTTCAATAGGAAGAGGCCTAACTCACAAACATACCAGCACTACAAGCAAGCAAGAAACAATTACACAATAGTGAGGAGAAAGGCAGAAAGAAACTTTGATAAAGGTATAGCAGACAAATGTAAAACTGATCCAGGCTTTTTCTATAAATTCATTAAAAGCAAGCTGCATGTAAATGATAAAATCCAGAGATTGAGAACAGGAAACAGTACTACTGAGAATGAAAAAGAAATGTGTGAAATGCTAAATGAACAGTTCTAAAGTGTATTTGTACAGAATGAGGATTTCATAAAACTGGACCTAATACCAATTCCAGAGCAAGCCATAGAATACATAGAGGTATCTCAAGATGAAGTGGAAAATTTACTCAAGGGGCTAGGAAGAAAGGAAGCAGTTGGACCTGATGAAGTTTCACCTTGGGTACTCCGAGAATGTGCTACCGAGCTGAGCATTCCACTCTAATTAATATTTCAGACATCCTTGTGCACAGGAACCTTAGCAGATATATGGAAAAAGGCAAACATAGTACTGTACCAATCAATAAAAATGGTAGTCGAGAGGAACCTAAATTATAGACCCAAATCATTAACAAGCTTGATAATCAAAACACTTGGAACGATAGTTAAAGCCAAATGGATTGAACACCTAGAGCGTAATGACATAACGGACAAACTGCACGGTTTTCGAACAGGAAGATCCTGTGTAACAGATCTATTTTTTTTTGTTTTTTGAGATATATACAAGAGTTGTTACATTCTTGTATAGCCACTAGTACGCGTAGCGTTTCTGGCAGGTCCCTGGAATACGATCCCCGCCGCGAAGAATCGTTTTTACAACCAAGTACTGTACTCATTTTACTGTTGAGTTAAACAGAGGCTACAGTTAAGGATTTGCGCCCAGTAAATCCTCCCCAGCCAGGATACGAACCCATGACAAGGCGCTCGCGGAACGTGTTACGACCCTGGGTTCTTCAGTGGAAACCAGAGGTAAAAATTTAACTAAATAAGCTACGTTAGAGTAGGAAATCGCAACTCGATGTGTCTTTGTTTGTATCTTCCCTGCCAGACGTAAGACTATTCTTGTTTCTCAAAGAGCATTTAAAGACTGAGCTGGGGGTTGATTATTAAATAATAACATAGGCACCAACTATGTTTACTAATATTCTAATCATTTGTAAAGTAAACCTGAGTAAACTTGGTATAGGGCTGCGGTACGATTAGTTGAGCAGTCTGCCGGCAGCAGCCAGCTGGGGGAAAGGAGAGGGAGACTCCATCTTTTTCTGAGCTGGCGTGGTGTGGACAGGATCCTCCTACCCTTCCTCTTCGTTTCCTTATTTCTGTTTCTTGTTCAAGTACCAACGGAGTTATTATTCCCTGTCTGGCATACTCATGTTCTATGTGTAGAGTAGTATATTTTGTGTGTAGTAGGTGTGTTTAGAGTTTATATTACTAGTTATTCTAAAGGGGGTTCCATTGGAACCACGTGGTCCCCTACCCTAAGCTGACTAACTTCAAGTTATTCAATAGTAGAGCTTTACCCTAGCTTGTGCTCAGTGTAAAACCTTGTATCCTGCTCAAGTGGACCAAGGCTTTTAACATAAGATAGGGTGGTAAAGTTATTATTATTATTGTTATTGGTGTGAGTGTATATGGGGGGCTGTTAAGGGGTTAATAAATAAGTACATGAATTATAAGAGTATCGTTCTTCCTGTGTAGGAGATCTTGATCATTCCCTAGACTGACCTTGTTGTGTAGCCAAGTAGTCAGCACTACTTCTAGTTTCCATGGGGGCCAGGCCTTACTGATCTCCCCAAATAGATACATCTTTATTCTGACTGACCTTACCCCTGAATAGCACTAGATTCCCCATAGCAAGCCCACCACTTTTATAACAGAACGCCAGGCGAGTGTCTTACCACTACACCACGGAGACTGCTTAGTTTTTATGATAGAGCCACAGAGATAACACAGGAAAGAGGTGGTTGGGTTGACTGTGTATCTGGACCTAAAAAAAAAAAGCACTGAATGTAATAAAATGCCATTTTTTGAATGAGACCCTTTGGCTCCCCAGAGCTATCCGGGCTGATATGAATGTATTAGACCCTGACATCAGTCAAGTGAATGGAGTTCTTAGGCCTATCGGAGACCACGAGCCAGAACCTGGCCCCCCCTCAGGGGGGGGCCAGGTTCTGGCTCATGGTTCATTGGTTCATTGCTCCTCGGTTCATTGCTCCTCGAATCCACGAGGAGCAATGGCCTATAGAAACCCCCATGTGGTTGGAAGCTTTCTATGTTTGCCATCGACCGGGTCAGGCACCCAGAAAGGTAAGCGCCCCAAATCAAACCCTATCTGGTTAAAATATGCTATTGAAAGGCAAACTATTGGAGAGAACTCCCTCAAATGAATAACAAGCAAACGAGCATGGCGTTACCGACGTCACCATGCCGCCGTCTGAGCAGCTTCCACCTCCCCGGGAGTGGGAAGGGGGAACCCCAGACCTGGGGTATTCACACCCTCAGTTCTGGGGCCGAATGTCAAAATCTCGCGAAAAAACACTGACCGGAAAGAGGGAGGGTGGCCGAGGAGCCTCAAGGTCTCGCCCAGAAAATGGCGTTTCATTACATTTAATGCTGGTTTTCTGGGGAGTCCCTTCAGCTCCCTGGAGCCACTTAGCCAAAGATAAAACAAGAGGGACTTACCCGGGAGGCGGTCACCACTAGCTCCTCAACTCGAAGTCGAGACAACTGCCTGCAACTGCCCACCCAATGCGACACATGCCTGACCAGGGCCAGAAACATTGACTTGGTAGTGAGCGGCCAGGACCCTGTTCGACCTCCAAAAACCCAGTGCCCGAATGTATGCCCAAAACATATTACCGAAGACAGCAGCCAACACTGTCTTCGGTGACCTGGGAGACCCAAACCCTGTATCAGGGAAGAAGGGAAACCGGGTCAAGCCAAAGTGCGTCCCTGGCCACTGAGGCCGTGGCGCGCAGGTAACGGTGAAGAGCCACAACCGGACACAACACATGATGCACCCCCGGCCAAACAAACCATGAATAAAATCCCTAGGACCACTCCAGAAAGCAGCAGTCTCTTTCTTCGCCAGAAAAGGAGGAGACGGATGCAAACGAACAAACCTACCACCAGGACCAAAATATGCACTCTAGGAGAGCATGAAGCTCCCCAACCCGACCCCCCCAGAGGGCAATGCCAACAGCAAAAGACCCTTCGCAAAACAATCCTGAACCAAAGGAGCCACAGCAAACCGAGGAGAGGAGAGAAAAGAGCACCTGGTCTAATGACAAGGTGATTTTCACCTGGCTTGCTCAGACAGTGCATGAGCAAGCCAGAGGTGAAACAATGCAGGATTGACTAAGTGGTGCTGTGTCCCCTAGCTGCACAGCAGTGCTGTGCGCTGCTCATGCATATGCCAGCCTTGGTCACTTTCTCAGTACTAAGGCTCTCACAGCCACTGCAGATGATGACTTTTTTTCAAAATAGCGTCTGTTTACAGAGTCCCGAGGCACAGGATGCGAGCGCCGAGTACCCGTGGGAGATTTGAAGTGCTCTCTATACCTAAAAATACTATATGGTGCTCTGTGCAACCCCGATCAGGCGCTTTAAGGCGTTCTGCTCAGTGCAGTGGTCAAGTAAGAGGCAGGTATAGTTTACAGTATCAAAGGTTTTTCTCAGGTCAATGAAGAGGCCAATTTGGAACTCATTTTTGTCAAGGGTTGTGTTGATTATATCAAGGAGACTATACATGGCATCACTGGTACTCTTTTGGGAATAGAAACCAAACAGACAGGGACTTAATATGTTGAATTGCACAAGGTAGGAATGCAATTGTATATTGCTTCCGATTACTATCCTCCTTTTCCCTTCCCTTTTCCCATTTTTTGTTATGCTAAATGTTTAAAGTTTTAATTCTCTCGTTTTTTGCTCACAATTAACACATAGTAAATGGTTATCTTGAGGTTATCTTGAGATGATTTCGGGGCTTTTAGTGTCCCCGCGGCCCGGTCCTCGACCAGGCCTCCACCCCCCAGGAAGCAGCCCGTGACAGCTGACTAACACCCAGGTACCTATTTTTACTGCTAGGTAACAGGGGCATAGGGTGAAAGAAACTCTGCCCATTGTTTCTCACCGGTGCCTGGGATTGAACCCAGGACCACAGGATCACAAGTCCAGCGTGCTGTCCGCTCGGCCGACCGGCTCCCTTTATGGTACCAGCAGTTTTATTTCATTTTTTTTTATTATTATTGTGCGTTTGGAACAACACCTGCCAGAATAGTTACTGCTCTATTCCAGATCACATTACAAATGCATAGCATACTTTATTCCCAAAAGGACATGGTCACTTTTGCCCAAGGGGGAACATACTGAATGTCAAATATCTCCTCTTCTTTCCTGGTGAATATCAAATCCAGCATTGAGGGAACATCCCTGTCCCTCATCCTCGTAGCTTGTTTAACATTATTCATGAATGTCTCCAGGATGAGGTTTACAAATCTATAGGTCCGAAAGTCCTCTGTTCTAGCTTCATAGGCCTCCCAGTCTATAGATTTCAATTTTAAGTCACCAATTACCAGCAGTTGTGATCCATCTTTATCCACTCTTGCTATAATCTCTCCCCATTGTTACGAGGCTCTATTGTTTATTATCCAGCTCCTCCTCTGTCCATGTGTTGCATGGCGGTGGACTGTATGCATCTATGATTATCAGTTTATCATCCTGATTACAAATCTCTAGTGTTAATATGCCAACTTCTCATGGATTGACAATCATTATTTTATTTAACTTCAGGCATTCTTTCACCAGCATAAAAATGCCTTTACCTTTCCTAATTTTTCTGTCCAGTCTCCAAACTAAGTAGCCCCTTGGGAATACGACTATTTAAAATATCATCTTTAAGTTTCACCTACGAGTATAACAATGTCTGGTGTCTGCAACTGTATTACATCATTTAGCTCTAGTATCTTTTACCTCGCTCCATCTATGTTAGTGTAAGAAATTTTCAGGAACATATTTCTCCCATTGTTCTTTACCTCCACCTTCTCTAAGTGATTTTCTTCGTTTGCCTTTTTGTACCATTTCACAGGTTTGCCTACCCCCCTATCACCTTGTAGAAAAAAATACATTCTTCTTCATTTATGCTCTCATTTAGATGTAATAGAACCCATGAGTAAAACACCAGAAATAAACACATCTCTCTTATATTACAAGAGTCAGACTAAATCTTTGCAAACACTCCATGCAAATAATAGTACCCAGTCTATGGAACTCGCTCATGAATTAAAAAATTGTCCAATCAATACTTTATTCAACTAGGAAAACCAAAAGGTACATATTTTCATCCTCATAGTTTCCACCTTTTGCTACCCACTCACTCAAGAAATACAACTTCATCACCATAATCTATTCTATCAATTTGTAATGTAGTTATTATGTTTTTTTTCCTGTTCTTAAAAATCTGTTTCCTCTATTGTTTAGTTTAGGAACCCGGCCAAAATGCCATGCATATTAGTGGCTTTGGAAGACTGTTACACTCAAACCCTAATTTATGCACTTCCTCAACCCAGCATACTTTCTTGTATACCGTATAAAGAAACAAATATTAGGGAAGGAAGATAGTGGCGAGTCTAATTGAAGACACCAATTAGAGAATCGGCTCACTACGAATCCATGTAACAAATCACAACCATAAATACTGTTAGGATCGAGTGTGATGGTATAGTATTTAGTATTATCTATGTCGGATTGTTATCAGATCAATTCATTTCTCAAGCAGCTGAGAAAAACTGCAATTAGTACACCAAAAATCTAGGACTATAAATGCACTGGCATACACTAGAAGGCTTCTTTGGGCAATGCCCCAGGTCCAAACAGGAGAGAAACAGCTGTGCAAAGCAACCCTTGTACCAGAAGACAAGAACCCCCCCCCACTCTCCCCACTCAAGAATATAGCTGTATCTCTTACCTGAATACACAAAAAGGACTACTTGCACAGAAACCTGGGAATATAACTCATAACTCACGAGAGCCTGAGAGGTGATATGAGTCATGTAGATTATGAAGAAGCTGAATAGCCAAGCATTTAAAAGCCTTGGCCCAATGAACATACTGTACACAGAGTATATATATACTTTTAATAACTATACATACCTTAATCAAATGAAAGAAAGACATTGGTCTCTTAGTAGGATCTGATGACTTAAGCCACATATCGATACGAGTCAGAACAAGGTCAATGTGAGAGGCAGCTGTCGTCCCCACACACAAAGCCAAACTCTCTCGTTCTGCAAGGTAAAAAAAAAAAAAAAAATTGATGGAATATGTTCTCAACATAAATCTATAATGGCAACGCTGGGATGGACAGCCACAATGCTATACAGTATAGTACTGGCTAATCCTGCAAGGCTTTTAGCCAGGATTTCACTAAATTCAGTAAAGATAAATTAGATAGTTGAAAAGTTAGTGGGTGAGGGAAACATAGATATCGAGATAACCAAGTAGGTACCGTACACAGTGAAGAGTTCTTGGGTTTTACATTGAAGAGAGAACAGCAGATTAAGTGAAAATACTAAATAAAAAAATATTTAATAGTACAATAACTTCACTACAAGGAATCAACATGTGGGGGGCACACCCATTTCATTAGATCGCAAGCAACTTCATTTAGGTTTGTGCCCAGGTCAGGGAGGATCGACTGGGTTATCATCTTCATGTGTTCACCCAACAGTAACTTGGGATCTAGTACACTCCCCCACCTTGCTATCGGACCTCAATCATTCGTTTATGATCCGACCAGTGACTACCTATGTAGTTCTGCGGCCGGCCACCGATGTAGCCGGTGGCGTCGCTGTTTGTTTTTGTTTACCTGCGGCAAACAAACCCACCCTCTTTCTCACTGTTTTATATCGGTGCACATTTTTTGCATCCAGCTACTAGTGCGTCTGGAAATGCAGGAAATATGTTGTTTAGGGCTTCAACTAGCAGTGAAGTCAAGAGAAAATATATTATGATGATGATCTATTACCAGAGCATTCAGCTTATAAAGGAAGATGAATCTGAAATGTCTCCTGTAATTACCTATATGTAGTTACAGGATGAGAGCTACATTCGTGGTATCCCATCTCCCCAGCACTGTCATATAATGCTTTGAAATTACTAATGGTTTTGGCCTCCACCTTCTCACCTAACTTGTTCCAACCATCTACCACTCTGTTTACAAAAGTGAATTTTCTTATATTTCTCTGGCAGTTTTCTTCCATTAGTTTAAATCTATGACCTCTTGTTCTTGTAGTTCCAAGTCTCAGGAATTCTTCCCTATCAATTTTATCGATTCCTGTTACTATTTTGTATGTAGTGATCATATCGCCTCTTTTTCTTCTGTATTTTAGTTTTTGCATATTTAATGCCTCTAACCTCTCCTCATAGCTCTTGTTCTTCAGTTCTGGGAGCCACTTAGTGGCATGTCTTTGCACATTTTCCAGTTTGTTGATGTGCTTCTTAAGATATGAGCACCATACAACCATTGCATATTCTAGCGTTGGTCTAACAAAAGTCGTGAACAATTTCTTTAGTATTTCTCCATCCATGTATTTAAAAGAAATTCTGAAGTTAGAAAGTGTAGTATAGGAAAGTGAGTATAGAAAGTGATGTAGTAGTATAGTGAAATGAGAATAGTATATAGTATAGTATAATGAAAAGTGAAATGTAATATAGAAAGTGAAAGTATGTAGTACAGTGGCACCTCTACTTACGATTACCCCGACTTACGGTAATTTTGAGTTACAATGTAAATTTCATCGAAAAATGCGACTCAATTTAAGACAATGTCGTTGACTAACGATATTTGTTGGTACACGTTTGGGTCGACCGAGTGCGTGGTTCCCGGTCACGTGGGCCAACCTGCCTCAGTTTACTAGAGTTGCCCGCTTAGTGATAATCACGCCTATAAGAAATTCCGTTTTTGTGGTGATATTTTGCTTTTTGAACATAAAACTGATTATTATATATCACACCATGGGTCCCAGAAAGTCAGTGGTAAGGTTCAACCTAAGAAAATAGTTGCGAGTTGAGGCAGTAAAGGATGTCCCTTCCTCATTAAGAAAATGTGTGAAGTATGGGAAGAACTGCAAAGTTTTGTTGAAAAAACTCACCCAGATAAAGCTGTAGCAGGCCGTTGCATTGACCTTTTAAATGACAATGTGATGTCTTACTACAGACAAGTGTTAAAATGTAGGGGAAAACAAGTGTCTTTAGACAGACTCTTACTAAGACAAGCAAGCAGTGAGCCACAAGCAGGTCATAGTGGTATGCAGGCAAAACATGCCAGAGAGAGTATCCCAGAAAAGTCCTCACTGCCTGATGTTATAATGGAAGGGGACTCCCCTTCCAAACCGTAACACCTCTCCTCCTCCCCCCTCATCACCATCTTCCATACACCACCAAGAGTCCTCCATAAAGATAAGATAAACATTTGTACTGTATTGTAGTTAGAGAACAAAATTGTATTCAGTATAAAATGTATTTGTAAGTTAATATTTTGGAGGGTGGGGAATGGATTAATTCAACTCCCTTTATTTCTTGTGGGAAAAATCGCTTCGACTTACGATATTTCTACTTACGATCCGTCTCTGGGAACGGATTACCATCATAAGTCGAGGGCCCCATTGTATATACAATGTTCTTAATGTGGCCCTCAGGTGACAGTTTTCTATCTAGAACCACCCCTAGATCTCTTTGTCAGAATTCTTTAAAGATTTCTCACATAATTTATAGGTTGTGTGGGGTCTATGTTCTCCAATTCCACATTCCATAACATGGCATTTATTCACATTAAATTCCATTTGCCAAGTGGTGCTCCATATACTTATTTTGTACATGTCTTCTTGTAGGGCATGACAATCATCTAGGTTTCTAATCTTTCCAATTATCTTAGCATCATCAGCAAACATGTTCATATAATTCTGTATTCCAACTGGTAGATCTTTTATGTAGACAATGAACATTATTGGTGCAAGAACTGAACCCTGTGGTACTCAACTTGTGACATTCATCCAATCAGATACATTGCCTCTGATCACAGCCCTCATTTTTCTAACAGTTAGGAAATTTTTCATCCATGTTAGAAGCTTACCTGTCACCCCTCCAATATGTTCCAATTTCCAGAACAACCTCTTATGTGGAACTCTGTCAAAAGCCTTTTTAAGGTCCAAATAGATGCAGTCAACCCAACCATCTCTTTCCTGTAAAATCTCTGTGGCTCTATCATAGAAAATGAGTAAATTCGTTACACAAGATCTTCCAGATTGAAAACCATACCGTCTGTCTGATATTATATCGTTTTTCTCCAGGTGTTCTACCCATTTAGTTTTAATTATTTTTCCAATATTTTGACTATTACACTTGTCAATGATACAGGTCTATAATTGAGGGGGTCTTCCCTGCTTCCACTTTTGTAGACTGGAACTATGTTAGCCTTTTTCCACACATCAGCTACAACTCCTGTACACAGGGATGCCTGAAAAACAGTTGAAGTTGAATGCTGAGCTCAGGTGCACATTCTCTCAGAACCCATGGTGAAATTCCATCTGGACCAACTGCTTTGTTCTTACTTGGCTCCCTGAGCATTTTTTCTACTTCGTCTCTAGACACCTCTATGTGCTCTATGGAATTCTTATTGTGTCTGGTTCCCTGAAGATTTCATTCTGTACAAACACACTTTGGAACTTTTTGTTTAATGTTTCACACAATTTCATTTTCATTTTCTGTGAATCTATTTCCCATTTTCCCTCTGAATATTATCCTTTACCTGCAATTTGTTTTTATGAATTTATAGAATAGACCTGGTTCTGTTTCACAATTGTTCGCAATCCTTTTTTCAAAATTTCTTTCTGCCTCTCCTCACTGCTGTGTAATTGTTTCTCGCATCTTTGTATCGCTGGTATATTTGGGGGTTTGGCCTCTTCCTATATTGATTCCATTTTTGTATCTTTTGGTCTCTGGCCCTCTTGCAATTTCTGTTGAACCAATCCTGTTTCCTGGTTCTGCATCTTTGCTTTGGTATAAATTTTGTTGTGCCTTTACCTCTGTGTGGTGGTGGTGGTGCGATAAGAGGTGCAGAGGAATGTATGTCCAAATTTGAGTGTGATTCTCTCTCTCCTGACCAAATTTATAATGCCAATGAACCAAGTTTGTACTGGTGTATCTTAACCTAAGCAAACCCAACCAAACATAATCTATTATTACCAAAGCAAACCTAACCAAACCCAGCCAAACCATATCAAACCAAACCAATGTTAACTAAACCTAACCAAACCAAAGCTAACCCAAGCAAACCTTACCTAACCTAACCAAAGCAAACCTAACCTAACCAAAGCAAACCTAACCAGACTTAACCAAAGCTAACCATACCAAAGCCAACCTGACATAACCTAACCAAAGCTAACCAGACCAAACCATACCTCACCAAACTTAAACAATCAAAGCTAACCTAACCAAAGTTAAACATAACCTTACAAAAGCTAACCAAAGCCAACCAGACCTAAGCTAAGCCAGCCTGACCTGACCTAACCAAAGCTAACTAAACATAACCTAAGGTAATCAAACAAAAACCCAACCCTCCCCTCAACCCCCAATTAACACCACTATACTCACATACACATCAGTCCAAGATCAAAATTATTAATTATTATAATATGTAGAGTAAAATGTAGACACTTGGTGAGAACCCATATTGACTGATGCTGTATTACCAGTATTCTGCGGCATTTTGTTTGAAGTATCCAGCGAAAACACAATGTACAGTGGAACCTCGAATAACGAATTTAATCCGTTTCGGCACCGAGCTCATTATGTGAAACGCTCGTCTCTCAAAATTAATTTCCCCCATTTAAAATAATGGAAATCAAATTAATCCGTTCTATCACCGAAAAACATCAATATGATATTTGATGTTTTAAATAATGGAGCAGCCTACTTTACATACACTGAACAAACCTTTATGATATTTTCTTTCTTCAAATTTGTTAAATTTTTTCATTTTTTTTTTTTATAACAAAAGGTTTGTTCAGTGTTTGTCAGGTAGGCTGCTCCATGTTTCTTAAAAAAATAAAAAAATAAAAAACGGTCGAAACAATTTGAAAAACGAACAAATGCCATAAAGGTTCATTCAGTGTTTGTTGGGTAGACTGCTCCATTATGGCAATCTGTCTTTCTTTCAAATGTGTTCCATTTGTTTTGTATTTTTCATTTATTTCTCAATAATGGAGCAGCCTACCCGACAAACACTGTATGAACCTTTATGGCATTTGTCCGTTTTTCAAATTGTTTCAATTGTTTTTTCATTTTTTTTTTTAAGAAACATGGAGCAGCCTACCTGACAAACACCAAACAAACCTTTGACATTTTTTTTTAATTTTATTTCTTTTTTCTACAAAAAAGTTAATGCTTTGCAACATCACAACAGTCACCCCTTTACATCCCAGCATCTTTAAAAAAAAAAAAAAAATTATTTGCATCGTCAGAGGCATCCGATAATGTGCGAGAAGCAGCGCGACCCCACCATGTGGTGGTGTCGTTATTCAAACGAGCTCTCGCCAAACGATACGAATTGTCGGCGATCGGGGTGCTTGTTACCCAAATTGCTCGCCAATTGAGGCGCTCGTCACTCGAGGTTCTACTGTACCGTTACAGACTGTACCTGTACGTAAAGATATTTTTTGTGCTTGGGGGAGAATTCGACTACTTATCCAGACACGACTACATATCCAATCAGAGTTGGGCCCCGAGGTGTCAGGATGGTAGGATGTCGAGTGTAAGGTTTTTAAACTTTATATTTAACATGAGCTACAGGAAGCCCGCTAACAGGAGTCAGAAGTCATCTGCTCCTGTATCTTATTACATAAAAAGAAAATTGTCCTTCACTAATGTGAAAATACAATAAACACTATTCGGTATACAACATTGTTAATTTGTGTGTATTATAATATACAGTACATTATTACAAATTTTATTTATCTATGGATTGTATATAGTATAAATAAAATGTAAATATTGTAATTAATGTACTGGATAAAATTATAATTACATGAAAGTAGTGTAGACATGCTTTGCTTAACTCCATTTTTTATGAAACGACACGATGTTACTGCATTTATCCTGCTCCACCACAGTCTTGCCATTTTCCCCATTACGTATTTACTTTTCTTCCAATAAACGCTCAAAAACACATTTCCACGCATATTTACACACCTAATATGTAAACAAAGAATTTTATATACTGTACTCAAGGAACGAAAAAAAGAAAGACGCTGCCGTTACTTGCTGATGAGCAGGTTTTTATTAGTTAACCTCTGCATGCAGAAAGTGTATTCCATGATGTGTTGCCAGAATGACTTGTGTTGCTTTTTCATATCTTGAAACTTGTATTTTTCCAGGGATATTCGTGCATGGGGCCCCCCCCCCCCAAGTCTCTCGCTGGCCCCACTAAATGTCGTTTATTTTGGTCTTAATCAAGCAGTGGATCACCGGTTGTGACTCTTACTTTAGATTTAGCAACATTAAGTCCAGAGTGTTTTGACAAATTTTGCGCCGCTAAATATACATGGTGGCATTTCATTTTAAGATTAACAATAGAAACTACTAACCAATAGCTGACTTGTGACATGTTGCATTGAAGAGACAGTCCAGAGTGGTAGCAATGAAATTTTCATTGGTGACTTGCTTAAGAGTCACGCCTACAAGGGACATCAAGAAGCACAGCTGAGCCTGCTGCTTGTCATACAGATGTAGCTGGTCCATCTGTTCAAAATATCCAGACTTCCATTAGATACATGGTTGTTGGTACTTGGAATATGGTGCAATGGGTGAAAGTGTACATATGAGGTTTATGGTTTGTACAGAGGGGGGAAATGGGTGGGTGCACGAGGCTCATGCAGAGGAGGAAATGGGCGGGTGCACGGGGCTCGTGTAGAGGGGGAAACGGGCAGCACACAAGGCTCGGGAAAGTAGGGAAATAGTGTAATAATACTTGGACTTCTCTAAAGCTTTTGATAAGGTACCGCACGAGACTGGCAAAGAAATTACAAGCACATGGAATAGATGGTAAAATACTAGAATGGACAAAAACAATCATTAAAACAAAGAAAGCAAAGGGTCATCCTAAAATGGAAATGAATCTTGACTGGAGAAATACTTATATAAAATCAAATAATTTTTCACGGAAAATACCTGAGCTTTTGCAATGTTTATAGTGTATTCTTCATTGTTGATGTGAGTGATAGTTGAAGCTAGAAAATCTCTCAGCGAATCGTGCCACATCTGAAGTATAAAACAGTGTATTAATCTACACCACCCCTATATATGCACGTATCCAACTGAAAACCTTGGTAGTAATAATATTACAGAGTGCTCACACACAGTAGCGGCCTTCTTCACATTTAATCTTTTAGGGGTTATATAACATAGGAATACAAAGATCCCCAAGAGGTCAACACGACCTACCATACAATGCCATTGGAATGGCTCAACACTTTAAAATACCTATTAAAAATTAAGCAAAATAACCAAAACTTACTGTATTTAAATGTATACTGTAACATGATACAGCAAATTAAAACACTTAACACTACAGTAATAAATAAAAAAAAAAAGTTGAATTTAATGAAACGCCATTTTCTGGGTGAACCCCGGAGGCTTCCTGGAGCTATCGGGCTAATATGCAATTCATTAGACCAGGGGCCAGATTCACGAACGCACTTACGCATGTACTTACGAACGTGTACATCTTTCCTCAATCTTTGACGGCTTTGGTTACATTTATTAAACAGTTTACAAGCATGAAAACTTGCCAATCAACTGTTGTTATTGTTATAAACAGCCTCCTGGGGCTTCGGAGCTCATTAACTGTTTAATAATTGTAAATAAAACCGCCAAAGATTGAGAAAAGATGTCCAGGTTCGTAAGTGCTTGCGTAACTTCTTCGTGAATCTGGCCCCAGGGCATTAGCCATAGGAGTTGAGCCAACTGGGGACCACGAGCCAGAACCTGGCCCTCTCAGAGAGGCACAGGGAGCAATGGCCCTACAAAATTCCCCCGTGGTTGGGGTTTTTCCTTATCTGCCATGAACCGGGGTTAGGCACCCAATAAGGTAGGCATAAGAAAACAGACTCCACGTGGCAAGAAAATTGCAACTGAGAACCGAACAGAGGCAGAACTCTCTCAATTCCACGGAAACAAGCAAACATTATGCAGCACTGCTCTTCCGCGCAGCCCCCCCCATCGTCACCTGGGAGGGGAAGGGAAGAGCCCTAGACCCACAGCGCCGGCTACCCAACCTCAGTTTGTAGGCTAAGCATCAGAAACAATGCGAAAACCTTCGACCAGAGGGAGGGAGGGAGAGTGCCAGGGAGCCTCTGGGGCTCACCTAGAATATGGCGTTTCATTACATTCAACGCTGGTTTTTGTGTGGGGGAGCCCTCTCCAGCTCCCTAGAGCTACATAACCAAAGATAAGGAAAAGAGGGACTTACCAGGGAGGCGGTCGCCATGTGTCCGCCAACTTGAAGCCAAGACAATTAGCTGCAACCTGCGACCCAAAGCCACACACACGAATGCCCAGGACCAGGAATGTTGACCAAAAAGTGGGCGGCCAGGACCATATTCGACCTTTGAAATCCCCGCACCTGAATATCAGCCCAAGACATGTTGCCGAAGACAGCAGCCAAAGCAGCAAACTTCCGAACGTCATGGGCATGAGGATAGACTGCAGACTGGCTAGACTATAACCCTGCGGACAACCTGGGAGACTCGAACCCGGGAACAGGGAAACCTTATCAACCCAGAATGCATCTACAGCCACAGAAGTCGAGGCGCGCAGGTAACGGCAAAGAGCCACAACTGGACAACACACGATGCACCCCCGGCCTGACCAACCAAGTATCAATAACTCAAGGACCCCTCTGGAAAGCCGCTGTCTCGTTCTTCACCAGAAAAGAAGGTTGCAACCATATGAACTGATTACCAGGACTGAAAGAGCAGAAACCCCAAAGCATGAAACTTACCAACTCAACCTCCAGAGGTCAATGCCAACAGAAAGAGCCTTGGAAAGACAATCTTGAACCGAAGGGGTCACCACTTACTGTGAATCGCGGAAAAAGAGGTACAGGTAACCCCACTTCAACCAGTCCTGCCAAAAGGTGTCTACTGCGAATGCTCCACGGTCGGGGAAGGGCGCCACGTATATTGGCAGATACGCTAAACCACGCCGATGCGGAGAGGTCCACCTTCGGGAGCCCGTACGTCCAGCAGAGCCAATTGAAGGAGTCGGTGTCGACTGTCCATTCAATGGATAGGGGAATGAACCGAGACAAGCCGTTGGACACTCACTGGATATGAACCAAACAGAGAGACTTCCCAGCCGAGAGACAACGTGTCCATGAGCACATCGAGTGAGGGCTCGGGTAGGCACCAAGGCACTGAACCCTAAAAAACACGAAGAGGAAGCCAGCAATGCAGCAAATGACACAAAGCCCCCGGAGGCCGAACCCAGCGATCATGAGCGAGGCGGAAGGGACATTCCCGAAGGAACCAGAATAGACACCGAAGCCAGACCTAACCCAGCAGGTAAACCAGCACGGTGAGGTTCAGACTCCCGCACAAACCCTTGAGCAACCGCCGGGTGACCCGGGAGTCCCCCCCTTCCCCCCCAGAAACAAGCACATGCGGGACTGCAGCTGAAGGAGACTCCGGAGGGAGAGACAAGTAAGCGGTCTGAGAGTCCCACACAAGACCCAGCCAGGTCTGAACCTGGGAGGGGACCAGATGGGACTTCCTCCAGTTCACGAGGAACCCAAACCTGGCAAGCTGGGAAAGAAGCAAATCCCTGGCGAGCAGACACGCGGACCGACTGGGAGCCCATATCAGCCAATTGTCGAGGTAGGCCAACACCTGAACACCTAAAAGACGCAAACGGGCCACTACGACCTGGGTAAGGCATGTGAACACGCGAGGAGCCTCAACGGGAGACAGCGAAAGCGGTAACCAAGACGCCCAACTACAAAACAAAGACAGTCCCTGAACCCCTGATGAATTGGAACCTGCCAATACGTCCTTGAGGTCCAGGGACGCATATCCAAGCGGCTGGCTCTAACAGAAGCCGGACCTGGGACAGTAGTCATCCAAAAGGAGAGGCAAGAAACCCAAGTGTTCAGACAGGACAAATCCAGAATGAACCACAGGTCCGCACAGTCCCGTTTCAGGACCGGGAACAGGCGGGAAACCCACCTGAGAGACATTGTCGTTTCGACCACGCCCAAACACACCCACTTTGAAATGATCTGACAGAGCACAGGAGAAGAGGTCTGCTCTGCCAGCCCCGAACCCCCTGAAGGAGGAGGGGGTCCACCCAATGGCACCGCAGACCGTCAGAAATAACCTGAAAAGCCCACAAATCGTGAGACCAGGCGTTAGCGAACAGAGCAAGCCTTCCCCCCCCCCCACCTAATCGCCCCGTCAATGAGGTGAACCTCAAAAGGGCCGATGCCCCTTACGAGAACCCGACCTGTGCACAGGGCAATTACCGCGCCGACCAGACGCAGACTGTTCAAAAGGCGGCGCCGGCTACGAAACTGGTACCTGTGGCCTACCATGATGAGCAGAACCCCAGGCCCTGGCACAACACTTCCAGGAGGAACGCCCTTCCCCCCAGGATCCCCAAAGGACCAATAAATCTGACATCGGATGACATATAACCGAGGACGCCTGCAGAAACTACCAAACCGCAGACTCTGCAAACAGCAAGGGACAAAAAGGCAAAGAAACTAAGAGCTAGGGCCCAAGCAGATTCCAAAGAGGAAGCAAGCACAACCTTCCAACACGCAAGAGGGGCAGCAAAAAACCGCGGCACTGCATCCCGTAGGATCGGTGCAAACAGCTTCAACAGTGCAGGCGACGCACGAGCAGCCGAGACTAAGTCACCAGACCCGGGAACGACCCCAAGAGCCTCCACACCCTCCGCAAGCCAATCCGAAGATAGCTCCAGGAAAGAAAAGAAATGCAAGATCGAAGCCAGTAAGCCACGAGCACGCAAGTCCTCAGCCACAAGCGCAGCCGACAGGGAAGGAACCTGCAACCTTTGTGAAGCTGAACCATGCCAACATCCCGCAGAAGGGCTGGGGCAAACAAACACGCATCGAGGTGCTTGAAGTCGCCCCCTCCAGGTAAACCTGGACCACTGTCAATACCTCGCTCCACTCAAGTGTGCGGAAAATACACCAAGCATCCAACGACAACAACAGGGCAGTCCGAAAGCCAGGATGGCTCCGGAACCTCCTAACGAACCCAGTATGGAGACGAAGACCCAAACCTAAAGGATAACAGATCCATTATGGAGGCAAATTTCGGGTTGCACACGAAGTAAGCCACAATGGCCTCCCACACCTCAGTAGGCGAGACGTGGGAAGTTGAAAACCTCTGGAAGAACGGAACCGAAGGACCCAAAGGGATAGGGAATTGAACCCAAGGAGGGGCTGAACCCAAATCCAACTCATACACAGAGGGGGGAAAAGGAAAACCCCACTACTTGTAACAAAAAGCACAGTTCTGAGGGTTGGAAAACCCAGGTGGGGTCCAGCGTGGCCCAAGGCCCCCAAGGCAGCTCCTCCCCAACCCCGGAAACCTCCACATCAGGCCCCTGGGGAGCCGGAAAAGCAGGAAAGAAAGGGCCCACTGGTCAGACCCTGTCGCCATGGATGGAGAAACCGACTCTAATGCTTCCGTCGCCACCCCCATCACGGAAATCATAACATAGAACAAAAAATCAATGTAAAGGATTTGCGTGTACTCATGTCGGAAGACCTTACCTTTAAAGAACATAATAAAGTAGCCATCACAACTGCAAAAAATAACAGGTTGGATAACAAGAACCTTTCACACCAGAGATGCTATACCAATGATGATACTTTTCAAGACGCTAGTGCTCTCTAGAGTGGAGTACTGCTGCACAATGACAGCCCCTTTCAAAGCTGGAGAAATTGCTGACCTGGAGAGCGTGCAGAGATTGTTTACTGCTAGAATCCACTCGGTAAAGCATCTAAACTATTGGGACCAACTAAAGAGCCTAAATCTGTATTCTCTTGAGCGCAGGCGGGAGAGATACATAATAATTTACACATGGAAAATAGTAGAGGGGCTGGTCCCAAACCTGCACACAAAAGTAACATAAGAGACCAGAAAGCATGGCAGGATGTGCAGAATACCCCCATTGAAAAGCAGAGGTGCAACAGGTACTCCGAGAGAGAACTAACAACATCAGAGGACCGAAGCTATTCAACACGCTTCCACTACACATAAGGGGCACAACTAGCCGACCCCTCACAGTGTTCAAGAGAGAACTTGACAAACACCTCCAAAGGATACCTGATCAACCAAACACCTCCAAAGGATACCCGATCAACCTGGCTGTGACTCATACGTCACGCTGCGAGCAGCTGCGTCCAACAGCCAGGTTCACCAGTCCAGCAACAAGGAGGCCTGGTCGACGACCGGGCTGTGGGGTCGCTAAGCCCCGGAATCACCTCAAGGTAACCTCAAGGTAAGGTAGCATGCAATGCCTGAGCCGCCTGCACCCGAATAATGTCATCAGTGGATTGAGCGAATTGACTTTCAAACAAGGAACAATGCTCTCAAGACTCTGGGTCGAAGGTGTCACCAACCCAACAGGCAACATGATGGAGGCAAAAACAATGAGCGTCGCCCTGAGACAAGAGAAAAAAACAGCCCTTAAACTCGCACAAAGTGAGAGGTGACCCAGTGGTCTCATCCATCGGATCCCTTGCGCCCCCGTGGGGTTTCCCAGGGCCCTTAGACTGTTATCGCCAAGGGTAAGCCCAGGCAAGGTACTGTTAATCGGCGCCTAAGTCTACCAAGCAAACTTCTAAAACTGAACCCATGGGATGTGTCTACTCATGGGGCCAAGCAGGGGGTACCACCGAACACAGGAGGTCAAGACCCTAAGATATCAGGGGGGTAGGGGAACAAAAGCTTATATTTCAGATTATCCAGGTCTCCTACTCAGTTGATTTATCATGTTCATACTATGCCTTCGTCTCGCAACCACACGTAGTCCTATTCTCAACTTTGATTGCATAAATGCTTATATTAGAAATTGAACATTCAAATTATTTATACAGATCAACCATTTCCAATACTGTACTTAAAGTTCCCATTTACTTCACGCAGAATTTCCTTCGCTCTCCACCACCAGAACTCTACTTTTGTCCATATTATTTTACAGCCTTACCTTGCACACCTGAATACAATTTAAAACTAGTTTACATAACTCTGCTAAAGAACTGCATTGCGCAAAATTTAAAATATGTCATGGCTTTAATCCTTAAAAGGCACAATACACATACAGTACTGTATAGGCAAGTGTTACGGAATGGTGCATATCATACACAGGCGATCGAGGGTCCCAAGCATGATATAAATGTCCCATGACTACATGGGGGTTCACATCAGCTTCCTCAGGGCTCTAGTAAACAGACACCATTTAAAAAGAAAATTGTGGGCATCATTCCCCAGTGTGAGAGCCTCAGTACTGAGTGAGCAACCAAGGCTGGCACACGCAGCATGAGCTCACAGCACTGCTGTTCAGCTTGTGACCACAGCATTGCCTAAAAATGTCAAAATATGTATGTAACCGATATTATTTAGCAACGATAGCATCACATAAAATCCCAGACCGATAAAAATGATCAGGATTCTGATAACAGCAAGATTGTGGTGATAATTAGTGCTATGCGTAGTATGGTGGGAGGAGTAATCTTGGTGAGGGAGGAAGGTAGCATTGTCTGCTGACTGTGTGTGACCACCCGTTATTAAGAATCACCATACCAGCTCAGTGGTTCGCTATGGCAAACACAAATGTAGATATTTATATATAATGTGTGTATATAATATGATAACAGCAAAAAAGAGTATGTTGGGAGGAGCCATTTTGATGAAGGAGGCGGCATCATCTAGTAGCTGCTGTGTCACTTGTCTAGCAGTTCTTTTGTGGCAAATATGTTTAGACACTGTACCAGTTTAGTTGTACGGTAAATAAAACATGTAGATACTTATATATATAATGTGTGTATATTGTGTAAAAACAGCACAAAGAGTATAGTGGGACGAGGAATGTTGGCAAGCGAGGGAGGGAACGTCAGCTGACTGTGTGGCAACGTCAATTATTGTCTTGACTCACCATACCAACTTAGTCGTACAGTTGGTTCACATATTTTATTATATAACTTATATCACACTACAGTACACACTATTGAATAATATTACTACAAAAAAAAAAAAAAAAAAAAACAGAACAAATCAATCAGACACACACACCACCTCTGTCAACGACTCAATTTTTTTAGACTTCCCCGCCCTATTGCAGCCAAAATATGTTGCCTACGATTCTTTGTTATTTTTCCCATGATCAGGGAGCACAAATGAACACTTTTATAAGAAAACAAAAATTTTAATTTTTTCCATTTAGTGCACCTGGCAGAGGTGAAGGCTATTAATAGCTAAGCAGCAGAAGGGTTAATTTAAAGATAATCTTGTGTTCTATGAGCTCAATGTCTTGTAATGTGCAAATCATCTATGACATTTTAAACATATATAGAACAAGTGAAAGCCAATGACAAATGGGTTTAGGTAACTAGGTATATCTGCTGGTTGTGGGAACTAGGTTTACACTATGGCTGCATCCAGAATTAATACTCTGGGATCACCGAGTCAATTCTTAATTATAACAAATACTGGCAAGTAATTTTAATAGGTACAAACTTGACGAAGGGCAGTTAATAAATGTCTCCAATGGTACAGAAATTGAACATGAAGAAAAATGGAAATTTAAAAGCATGTATAGACTATACAGGTGCATAACCCCTATTTCCATAATGGTAAAGAGACTTACCTGCATGGCGGCAGGCTCAGCATCAACCTTGTCCGTAAGGTCTTGTAATGTTGATAATAGCTGTGGGAGGTGTTGGTTCCAGAGTTCCACAACACTGGGGCCAACATGAGGTGCAAGGCCCTGCAGAAGTTTAAGAGCTGCCACTCCGACAACTGCATCAGCCGGCACACAGCTTAACACCAATAAACGCGAGAGTAAGACTGGAGCAGTAGGGGGCCCTGGAGGCCCTACAAGTATTGGGTGCTCTTCATTAAATGATGCATAGTGGTTAGCCAAGTGTGCTAGGCAACCTATAGTTATGGGAAGACTGGCATCATATTCCGAACTACACACAAAATTCAATAAATGTGGCCATAATATGGGGTGGGCAGCCTCAACAGTTGTGGCCAGCAGATGGAGCGCTCGCCGGCTGACTTCGCCCACCGATTCTCTATCTGGCTCGGCCAGAGATGGTCGTCGAGTTTGGGGTGTAGAAAGACAGGCAGAATGTTTAACCAAGTATGTGATGAAAGGAGCACCTGAATGTGCAGTAAGATGGTTATTGTGGCACAATGCAATGACGACTTGTGTCACATTCTTCACCACCTTGCTGTTTGGATCAGTAAGAATGGCACCTAATGCAGACACCAAGCTTGAAACATTGTCTGTGCCAAGAGTTTTACTATTTACGAGATGTTTAGTCACAATAAGAGCTCCAACTCGCTGCATGTGACTGGCATTCTCAAGTCTCTGGATAAGATGATTCATCACATTTGCAGGGTAGTTCTTCCCAAGGAGTTCATAACAACGCAGTACCTCGTAATGGTTTTTAACAGTGAGTGGTTCTCCATAGTCTGGTGTAATGCATACTTGGCTGAATAAAGTACTTAGTAAATTGTCAACGTGAAACCTCATGGGTTCAGCAAGGCGATTTTTCAGCATGGCATCTATTATTAATGCTAATGACAAGGTAAGGTTATAGGGAGAGGTGGTCTTGCGGTACAGTGATAGAATAGTCGTCATTACCAAGCCTGCCAGTTCTTCAAGCTTCTCTTTGGAGAGAAGATGGCTCATGTGACCAAGACACACTACTGTTTCTTGCCTAACTCCTGCATTTGAGCTTTTCAGCCAAAGATGAACTAATGATTCAAACACTGCTGCACTTTCCGTCATGTAGGAATTCACCGAAATATTAGGATCGGGATCCTTATTTTCCACGGCCTCTAAAATGGCTTCCGAGAACTTGCTGAGCATAGTAGCTAATGCAATCTTGAGACCGTCTTGTTTCACTTGTGGAAGACAACCGACAATCAGTCCAAGTAAGACCTTAAGGTATGGTACAGTTCCTCTGACATTACCAGCAGCCAAGGCTCCAAGAGTTTCAACAATACTCTGTGATGGTATGATTCCAGTCTGGATTTGAGTTACTAAACTTTCCATCACCTGAGGGAGAAAACAAAGCTTTAGAAATATTTTCTTTCACATTATTGAGGACATTCATTAGAAGTAACAAATGTTTTGGCCATGCTAAAAATATCACAGCACATAATCTTATTAAATACAGCCCTTGATTTATTCATGGTAAATATTAAAGTGCAAACAAATATAAACCGAGAAATTAACAGTTTAAAGTAAGAGAACAATATTGGAGATAAATGGACAAGGACATCCTGAACTTCAGTTTTATACTTGATCAACAAACACAATACAAAAAAGACATCAATTACTTCTCTGCCACACACAGTCCTGAACAGTACTGGATAATATGCAACGTCAATTTAAACATTTACAGAGCTTGTGACCCACATGGCTTTTAATTTTCACTGTAATATTCTTAATTTTATTATTACAGTACAACTTCGATTCAACGTACCCTGATTCAATGAATCTCCGGCTAGTTCGCACACTTTTCAGGCCCGATTTACTCACCCGATTCGACGAACAATGGTTCGCCGAAGCGGGGGATGTTCGGATTTGCTTACGATGTCGAGACAGAGTTCACAGACTGGTGGAAAATCTTCCCATTCTATCACAAATTACAATTAATAATTCACTCATATGATAAGTTCGATCACACAAGTGGACCTCACAAATGGACCGCACAAGTGGTCCACAAGCTCATGATGTTTGGACAGTTCACATAGTGGTGGAAATCTTTCCCATTCCATCACAGGTTACAGTTAATACCTTACTTGATATGACCAGTTGGATCACACAAGTGGACCACACATGTGGACCACACATGTGGATCACACAAATGAACCACAAGTGGTCCATAAGCTTACAATGTTGGGACAGAGTTCACAGAGTGCTGGAAAACTGTCCCATTCTATCACAGATTACAATTAATAATTCCTTCATAAGACCAGTTGGATCACACAATTAAGTGGACCACACAACAAGTGAACCATATGAACCAAACACCAGCCAGAATGGTCCACACAAGAAGTGACGCATATTGACCAAATACCAGCCAGAATGGTCCACACAAGAAGTGACGCATATTGACCAAACACCAGCCAGAATGGTCCACACAAGAAGTGACGCATATTGACCAAACACCAGCCAGAATGGTCCACACAAGTGAATGACCGAGTTTCAATGATTTTCATTCACCGATTTGATTCAGTGAACGATTATTCAGAGATGATTATTCACTGACAATACAGTACATATGTTTCTTATCTTTATGGAGGACTCTTGTTGGCGTATGGAAGATGGTGATGAGGGGGGAGGAGAAGAGGGGGTTACTGTTTGGAAGGGCAGTCCCCCTTCCATTATAACATCAGGCTGTGATGACTTTTCTGGGATACACTCTCTGGCATGTTTTGCCTGCATATCACTAGAATCTGCTTGTGGCTCACTGCTTGCTTGTCTTACTAAGAATCTGTCAAAGAAACCACTTGTTTTTCCCTACATTTTAACACTTGTCTGTAGTAAGACATCACATTATTATTTAAAAGGTGAATGCAACGGCCTGCTACAGCTTTATATGGGCGAGTTTTTTCAACAAAACTTTGCAGTTCTTGCCATACTTCACACATTTTCTTAATGAGGAAGGGACATCCTCTACTGCCTCTACTCACAACTATTTTCTTAGAGTGAACCTTACCACTGACTTTCTGGGACCCATGGCATGATATATAATAATCAGTTTTATGTTCAAAGCGCAAAAAAATCACCACAAAAACGGAATTTCTTATAGGCATGATCATTACTAAGTGGGCAGCTCTAGTAAATTGAGGCAGGTTGGCCCGCGTGACCGGGAACCACACGCTCGGTTGACCCAAACGTATACCAACAAATATCGTTAGTCGACGACACTATCGTAAGTCGAGTCGCATTTTTCGATCAAATTTACATCTTAACTCAAAATTATCGTAGTTGGGGCAATCGTAAGTCGAGGTGCCACTGTATTCGGTGTAAAATTTATTTTCAAGTGAATATTTTTTGGGGTGTGGAACGGATTAATTCAATTTACATTATTTCTTATTGGAAAATTTGTTTCGAGTAACAACCCGTCTCTGGGAATGGATTAAATTCGTAAGTGCAGGTATCACTGTACCAGGTAATTGGACTCCGACGGTTGCTCTCGCTTTTAGTTCAGTTTGAAGTTATAATCTCACATCTGGCACTTAACATGTTGGCTTTTGTGCAGTCCTTCTGACCGAGATAAAAATCTTGCAAAAATTTTGGATCTTCATGTTTTGGGCAAGTTTTCTTTCATAGTTTCGTTTTGGCTGATCTGATTTTCCGAGTGGCAGAGTTTAGTGCCCCTTTTGTACAACTCATAATCAAGGATGTCTATTGTGGATTTATACGTTCGCCAGAGGTTCCTCTTGATTACCAATGTTCATTTCACGACCTGTGTCATCCATCTAGTTCCCTTTCTTGCCCTTCTTTTCGGCACATTTTTGAACAAGTTCCACGATGACCCTCTTGAAATTCTGCCATGATGCTTCCGTGCCATGTTCACCCATCAGCTCCCTCCAGGAGATGGTTTGCACTTCCTCTCTCATTCCTCGATAGTCGCCTCACTGGTAATCAAAATATTCATCATTTTTTCTTTGTGGGTTTCTATATTCATAGTTCAATATAAAATATGATGGTTGCATGAGGGTTAGCTTTTGCCCCACATGAATTTGATCAATCATACCTTCTTCTGTTGTTAGCAGAAGATCTAGTATGTTGTTACCATGTATGGGCTCTACCACACGCTGTATGGGACACGAGTCCTGCACAAGGTCGAGAAATTGTTGACCTCCTGCTGACGATAGGTTGATCAAATCTATAATCTCATAGTTAAAGTCCCCCATTATTAGAATTTGGGTTTGGGAACAACATCCTCCAACAACTTACAGGATGTTGTACCGGACAATTTCTTCAAAAAGGTCAGATGTAACACAAACAAGGAGCAATGGTCTCAAGCTCAATAAGCCACAATGTAGCACTGAAAACAGGAGATGCTTTTTCACCCACAGGGTTTAAAAACCCATGGAACCACCTACCTGCCAAAACCGTACATGCCAAAAAACTGCTGAACTTTAAAAATCCAACTGGAAAAAATCCTCAGAACAAATGGGGGGACTTTTGACAAGCCACCAGCTTCCTATCCTTCTCGGGGCCACTAGAGGCCTAGTGTCCCTCCCATGGTAAATTCAGGTAAATATACTTCTGGGAAATGGTTCCAACCCTCCCCCCCCCCCCCAAAGCAGCTGCCCACCCTCTGAATATGGGGAGGTAAATGTAACACCACAAGTAAGTGTAATTATGTACTACTGTATTCCTAGCAGTCAGGAATTGTACTTATTTTCACTTAGTATTAAACCATACTGTCAACTATATTGTGAATATTTGAGTTTACCAGAAAAGCTGAATAGGAAACCACGACCTAACCTAACCTTCTTAGTGTACAGTATGAGGACAAGCATTTTATTGCTTCTTAATTACAATTAGTACGTAACCTATAGCTATATAAAATAAAATAAAAATAAAATAAATGTTTATTTAGGTAAGGTACATACATACAAGAGATTTTACAAAATTGTTGGATTAATAGATAGAGCTAGTATATACAATGCCTAAAGCCACAATTACGCAAAGCGTTTCGGGCAGGAAAAACATTAATGACTAAAGCTTAATACTAATGGGTATAAAGAATAAAATGTGTTGAGAACAAATAAAAATAGAGGTAAAAGAGGGGGGAACATGGCTGAAAAAGCAGCACAAATACAATTACAAATTATTACAGACAATTACATTCAAACAGCGTTATTAAAAAAAAAAAAAAAAAAAAAAAAAAAAAAAACAGATGGGTTGACAACAGAGGGGTAAGGTAGGTTACAGGGAATTTATTAGGTAGTGCTTAGTTTTTATCTTAAACTGGTTGAGAGAGGTACAGTCTTTAACATGGTTGGAAAGGTCATTCCACACTCTGGGTCCCTTGATTTGTAGAGCATTTCTAGTTTGATTAAGTCGTACTCTTGGAATATCAAAACTGTATTTATTTCTGGTGTGGTGCTCATGGGTTCTGTTACAACCTTCAATGAAGCTTTTGAGGTCAGGATTGGCATTACAATTCAGCATTTTATATATGTATAATACACATGAGAGAATGTGCAGTGACTTAATATCTAACATATTCAGAGATTTGAGTAGGGGTACCGAGTGATGTCTGGGGCTAGAGTTGGATATTGTCCTAATAGCAGCTTTGTGTTGAGTAATTAGAGGATGTAAATGATTTTGGGTAGTAGAACCCCAAGCACAAATACCATAGTTGAGATATGGATAGACGAGGGAGTAATAGAGAGTCACCAGGGCAGGGCGGGGTACATAATATCTGATCTTAGAAAGAATGCCAACAGTTTTAGAAACTTTTTTTGATATATTTAGAACGTGTCCCTGGAAATTCAGCTTGTGGTCAGTGAGAATGCCAAGGAATTTGCCATCTAATTTGTTACAAATTTGGGTATTGTTTATTTTGAGATTTATTTGATTAGAGGATTTATTGCCAAACAGAATATAGAAAGTTTTGTCAATGTTAAGGGTGAGTGTGTTGGCAGTTAGCCAAAGATAGACTTTCTTTAGCTCAGTATTTACTGTGGCATTTAGAGCAAGGGGGTCAGGACTGGAGTAAATGAAGGTTGTGTCGTCAGCTAATAGAATTTGCTGAACAAAACAAAGTAATATTGATATTACAATTTTATAAAAACTAATAAAACAAAACTAAAATATTTCAATAAATTGTAGAGTAATTCAGGATATTTTCAAATTTTGTATAAAATCTCTATTGTTTAATAAAACTAAAAAAGAAATTCCACATATTTAAAACTTGTGTATAGAGAATTGAACTTGAAACTTCATCCTAAAATTCTGAGCGTCTTAACAGAAAACAAGGAAAATAAATGGGGAGGTAAATATAATGGCACAAGTAAGTGTAATTATGTACTATTCCTAACAGTCGGGAAATGAACTTATTACACTTAGTATGAAACTGTACTGTCAATTCGGAGGATGGGTTGCCCTAAGAAGTCAAGAATGAGGAGGAACAAAGCCATATCATATTACTCACAGTATTACAATGCCTGGAGTTTGTGGCAAGAGCCACCATCATGCCCGAGGCAGCTTCTTGAAGGTCAGGGGCTACCGCCGGCAGGGTCAGCAGCTTCAGGCCTCCCTCTACCCACATGACGATTACCTCTTCATCTTCAATTTTCTCCCCACACTCACGCATTATGTTCTCAGCTATGTTGTACAATATGCATTGTACTTGAACCTGTAAATTGAACACCATAATACCACATTTGAATAACCTTTACTTTATGCACTGTGCTAATTTGATAAGGATAATTTTACTGTATGACTTCCATATTTACCAAAATATGATTTTCAGAAACTTTCAACCACAGGCTTCCCTTATGTATGGTCTGGTTCCCACACCCTGATACATTGTTCAACCACTTCACTTACTCATTTTTTTAGCTCAAGATGTAAACAAAATCAAATAATAATATCACTTACTTTTGGAGCTGTCTGTGGGCTTGTAATGAACTTGTGGACACATAAGAGGACTGAAGCAGGATGTTGACGACCCACAGTAATCAGGGATCCCGCTACCGTTTGTTTTACTCCATCATTGACATCACCCACAGTATCCAGCAAACCCCACACCAAACCTTCACAGAAAATTTTCATATATAAAACAAACTATTAAATTTGAAGAGATAATGTAGACAGTAATATGCTTTCTATATAAAAAAAAAATAATCATTTGATAAAATGGATAAAAGACAACATAAAACTAGCATTGAATGTAATGAAACACCATTTTCTGGGTAGAGCTCCAGAGGTTCTCTGGAGTTATTAGACCAATATTAGCTAATATTAGTACATTTGCTTCAGTCAAATGGCGTTGTCATGCCTACTGGGGACCACTAGCCAGAACATGGTCCCCTCAGAGAGGCGCAGGGAGCAATGGCCTATGAAACTCCCTTGTATGAAAGTATTCATGTCTGCCAGTGACTGAGGTTGAGCACCCAGAAAAGTAGGTGCTTCAAAACAGATCCCTCCTGGTAGAAAAATTGCAACCGAACAGAGGCTAGAAACTCCCCACCAAAGAAAAACAAGCAACACTTCATCACATCACATCGTGCTCGTTTGTGCGTATAAGCACGCATTAATATCTAACACATTCAGAGATTTGAGTAAGGGTACCAAGTGCTGTCTGGGGCCAGAGTTAGATATTGTTCTAATAGCAGCTTTGTGTTGGGTAATTAGAGGACGTAAATGATTTTGGGTAGTAGAACCCCAAGCACAAATACCAAAGTTGAGATAAGGATAGATGAGAGAGTAATAGTGTAGGGCAAGTCAGGAGAATCACCAGTGCAGGGCGAGGTACATAATATCTGATCTTAGAAAGAATGCCAACAGTTTTAGAAACTCTTTTTGCTATACAGTATTTAGAATGTGTCCCTGAATATTCAGCTTGTTATCGATGAGGACACCAAGGAATTTACCATCAACTTTACTACTGATTTGTAGATTGTTTATTCTTAGATTAATTTCATTTGAGGATTTATTACCAAACAAAATATAGAAAGTTTTGTTAATGTTAAGAGTGAGTTTGTTAGCAGTTAGCCAAAGATGGACTTTACTCAGGTCAGTATTCACTCTATCATTCAAAGCAAGAGGGTCAGGACTGGAGAAAATGAAAGTTGTGTCATCAGCAAATAAGATTGGTTTGAGGATTTGAGAGGCATTTGGAAGGTCATTAATGTAGATGAGAAAGAGGAGAGGGCCAAGTATGCTGTCCTGTGGAACACCAATGTTTATGGGTAGTGTAGGAGAAATGGAGTTATTCACAGAAACATAGTGGAGCCTGTCAGTAAGGTAAGACTGAAGGTATTGCAGGGAGTGACCTCTGTCTCTATAATGATGTAATTTAAGAAGAAGGTTTTGGTGGTTGACAGTGTCAAAAGCCTTATGTAGGTCCCAAAATAACCCAACAGGGAACTCATTTTTATCAAGAGCTGCATGTATCAAGTTAATCATACTAATAAGTGCATCATTAGTGCTTTAATTGGGTCTAAAACCATATTGGCAAGAACTAAGTATATTGAGTTTGGCTAGATATGAGTAAAGCTGCTTGTAGATTAGCTTTTCAAATATTTTTGACAAGGTTGGCAGAATTGAGATAGGTCTGTAATTGTTGACAGTGAGATCACCACATTTGTGGACAGGGGTTACTCTTGCTTTTTTTTAGAACATCCGGAAAGGTTTGGAGTTCAAGTAATTTGTTGAAGAGCAATGCAATGGTAGGAGCTAGATATCTGGAGGCTTTTTTTGTAAATTAGAGATGGTATTCATCAAGGGTGATTGACTTAGTTTTAAGGGAAAGGATTACCTCATTAACATCAGAGGAAGTAGTGGGAGCTATGTACACAGACTCTAGATAGTTACCTGTAAGGTAGTCTTTAATATTAGTGAGTGAGGATGGAATATCATGAGCAAGAGATGTTCCAATGAAAAGAATCTATTGAATTCAATAGCAGTGTTTGAGGCCGAAAACACACCATCATCATTGGATAGGAGAATTAGTTTTTTATTCAAAATCTTTTTTGAACCTAATATTTGGGAGATAGTGCTCCATGTTTTCTTAATGTTGCCCTTAATTTGGGTAAATTTTGTAGTATTTTATTTTAGCTCTTCTAATTATTTTAAACAGCATGGATGAGGAAATCTTTGAAAATTCTTTGTAGATGATTCCTGACCTACACTTTTTTTCAAGGTCATGTTTTTTCATTAATAGATTTAAGTATACCCTTTGTAAGCCATGGAGTGTTTAAACTGTTATTTGTAACTTGATTCATTAGCATTGGACAGTGGGAGTTATAAAGGTTCAGAGTTTTCTGAAGAAATGTCATGTCATGTAGTGCAGGGCATTGGTAAGGCAAACCAAAAATCAGGCCCAAGAAAAAGACTAGACTCAAATCAGAAGCAATTTGAAGCAAGATGACTCGCCAATGAATCTCAAAACAAAAACCTGGTGAAAAGTGAGTGAAGAGCCAAGTCGTCCATGCTGTACCCCGCGGCTGCCAGAATTGTATCATTTAATCAGCTACAACAAAGCCAGTCAATAGTATATTTATTACCCACCCTTTTCTTTGTCCTTGTTCTGCATATTCTTCTGCCGGGTATGAGGTGACAGGACTTGTGAGGTGTGAGGGAGACGAGACCAGGTGATGGTTATGGGCGTCGCCCTTCGATGGTCGTCCCAGGTGGCTTGAAGCAGTCAATTGATTATCAGAACACCACTATGTTCACTCGGTGTTCACTCGGTGTTCACTTCACCAGCTGGTCTACACCGTCAACAGGGCTGGTGTGTGTCTATATACTGCAAGCCATGGCACCACCGGGAGGAGAATAACCAGACTGTACGTGGCGCAGATATGAAGTAATGTTTACAACCTGCAAACGTTTCAAAGCCTGAAATGAAATATTTTACCTGGGGCTATATTGTGTAATATTTTATGTATATACTCAATTCAGAATAGTGATAATGTTTTCTTAAGTTGTAAATTAAACTACAGCATTAAAACTAACAGTTAAACTGCTAATACAAACAAATTAAAACTCACTGACTGATACTGAAGCCAAGAGAAAGGAATGAAAGGCAGCCAATGCAGCAAGACAGATAAATGTCCTAGGACGGACGTGTCATGAATACCGCTCTACACTGCCCAGGATTAAGGAAAACCACTTTTATAAACAGCCTAATTTTTTACCTGACAGCTTACCTCTCTTATTTGAGAGAAATAACTTAAGTTGAATGTAACAAGCTTGTATCTGCACCCAGATATAGATATAGATATATATATATATATATATATATATATATATATATATATATATATATATATATATATATATATATATATATATATATATATATATATATATACCTCTCAAATAAGAGAGGTATATATATATATATATATATATATATATATATATATATATATATATATATATATATATATATATATATATATATATAAGGCTTAACAATCCCTGGCTTACAAAGGGAATACTTAAATATATTAATAAAAAACATGACCTTGAGAAGAAGTATAGGTTAGGAATTGTCTCCAAAGAATTCTCAAAGAATTACTCATTATTGCTATCTAAGATAATTAGACGAGCCAAAACTAAATACTACGAAGATAAATTTACCCAAATAAAGAGCAACATTAAACAAACTTGGAGAACAATTTCACAAATATTGGGATCAAAGAAGTCTTTAAATAACAAACCGACTCTCCTGTCTAATAACGATGGTCAGCTTTCAGCCTCTGATTCTGCTATTGAGTTCAATAGGTTCTTCTCTTCCATTGGTTCATCCCTTGCTAATGATATTCCATCTTCCAGTACTGACATTAAGGACTATCTTACAGGGAACTATCCCCAGTCTCTGTACCTAAAGCCTATTAATTCCATTGACGTCAATGAGATAATCCTTTCCCTTAAAACCAAGTCTGGTGCCCTTGAGGAGATACCAACTTTAATCTACAAAAAAGCCTCCAGATCTTTAGCCCCTGCTATTGCTTTGCTCTTCAACAAGTCACTTGAACTCCAAACCTCTCCAGATATTCTAAAAAAAGCGAGAGTAACGCCTGTCCACAAATGTGGTGATCTCACAGATGTTAACAACTACAGACCTATATCAATCCTGCCAAACTTGTCAAAAAATTTTGAAAAACTAATCTATAAGCAGCTTTACTCATATCTAGCCAAACTCAATATACTTAGCCCTTGCCAATATGGCTTCAGGCCCAAAAAAAGCACTAACGATGCACTTATTAGTATGCTTAACTCGATTCATACAGCTCTTGATAAAAATGAGTTCCCTGTTGGGTTATTTGTGGACCTGCGTAAAGCTTTCGATACTGTCAACCACCAAAACCTTCTTCTTAAATTACATCATTATGGTGTCAGAGGACACTCCCTACAATACCTCAAATCCTACCTTACTGACAGGCTCCAATGTGTTTCTGTGAATAATACAATTTCTCCCACCCTACCCATCAACATTGGTGTTCCCCAGGGCAGCATACTTGGCCCTCTCCTCTTTCTCATCTACATTAATGACCTTCCAAATGCCTCCCAACACCTCAAACCAATTCTATTTGCTGACGACACAACCTTCATTTACTCGTCCTGATCCCCTTGCTCTAAATGCCACAGTAAATACTGAGCTAAATAAAGTCCATCTGTGGCTAACTGCCAACAAATTCACCCTTAACATTGACAAAACTTTCTATATTCTGTTTGGCAATAAATCCTCTAATCAAATAAATCTCAATATAAACAATACCCAAATTTGTAACAAATTAGATGGCAAATTCCTTGGCATTCTCATTGACCACAAGCTGAATTTCCAGGGACACATTCTAAACATATCAAAAAAAGTTTCAAAAACTGTGGGCATTCTTTCTAAGATCAGATATTATGTACCACGCCCTGCCCTGGTGACTCTCTATTACTCCCTTATCTATCCATATCTCAACTATGGTATTTGTGCTTGGGGCTCTAATACCCAAAATCACTTACGTCCTCTAATTACTCAACACAAAGCTGCTATTAGGACAATATCCAATTCTGGCCCCAGACATCACTCGGTACCCCTACTCAAATCTCTGAATATGTTAGACATTAAGTCACTGCACATTCTCTCATGTGTATTATACATATATAAAACGCTAAATATAATGCCAATCCTGATCTCAAAAGCTTCATAGAAGGTTGTAACAGAACCCATGAGTACCACACCAGAAATAAATACAGTTTTGATATTCCTAGAGTACGACTTAATCAAACCAGAAATGCTCTACAAATCAAGGGGCCCAGAATGTGGAATGACCTTCCCAACCATGTTAAAGACTGTACCTCTCTCAATTCTCAATTCTGCCAACCTTGTCAAAAATATTTGAAAAGCTAATCTACAAGCAGGTTTACTCATATCTTGCCAAACTCAATATACTTAGCTCTTGCCAATATGGTTTCACACCCAATAAAAGCATTAACGATGCACTTATTAGTATGATTAACTTGATACATGCAGCTCTTGATAAAAATGAGTTCCCTGTTGGGTTATTTGTGGACCTACGTAAGGCTTTGGACACTGTCAACCACCAAAACCTTCTTCTTAAATTACATCATTATGGAGTCAGAGGTCACTCCCTGCAATACCTTCAATCTTATCTTACTGACAGGCTCCAGTATGTTTCTGTGAATTCAGATTCAGATGTTTATTCAGGTAAGGTATATACATACAAGTGATGTTACATTAATGGATTGATATATAGATAGAGCTAGTACATACAATGCCTAAAGCCACTATTACGCAATGCGTTTCGGGCAAGAAAAACATTAATATCTAGAACTTAATACTAATTGAGCATAAAGAATAAAAAGTGTTGAGAACAAATACAAATAAAGATAAAAAAAAGGGGGAACATGACTGAAAAAGCAACACAAATACAATAGGTTGACAAACAGTGTTGATTAAAAAAAAAGAAAATGAAAAAAAAAGAAAATAACAGATATGGGTTGACAATAGAGGAGTGAGGTAGATTACAGGGAATTTATTAGGTAGTGTTTAGTTTTTATCTTAAACTGGTTGAGCGAGGTACAGTCTTTAACATGGTTGGGAAGGTCATTCCACATTCTGGGCCCCTTGATTTGCAGAGCATTTCTAGTTTGATTAAGACGTACTCTAGGAATATCAAAACTGTATTTATTTCTGGTGTGGTGCTCATGGGTTCTGTTACAACCTTCTATGAAGCTTTTAAGATCAGGATTAGCATTATAGTTTAGCGTTTTATATATGTATAATACACATGAGAGAATGTGCAGTGACTTAATATCTAACATATTCAGAGATTTGAGTAGGGGTACCGAGTGATGTCTGGGGCCAGAGTTGGATATTGTTCTAATAGCAGCTTTGTGTTGGGTAATTAGAGGACGTAAGTGATTTAGGGTAGTAGAACCCCAAGCACAAATACCATAGTTGAGATAAGGATAGATAAGGGAGTAATAGAGAGTCACCAGGGCAGGGCGTGGTACATAATATCTGATCTTAGAAAGAATGCCCACAGTTTTTGAAACTTTTTTTGATATATTTAGAATGTGTCCCTGGAAATTCAGCTTGTGGTCAATGAGAATGCCAAGGAATTTGCCATCTAATTTGTTACAAATTTGGGTATTGTTTATTTTGAGATTTATATGACTAGAGGATTTATTGCCAAACAGAATATAGAAAGTTTTGTCAATGTTAAGGGTGAGTTTGTTGGCAGTTAGCCAAAGATGGACTTTATTTAGCTCAGTATTTACTGTGGCATTTAGAGCAAGAGCAAGAATAATTCCATTTCTCCCACCCTACCTATAAACATTGGTGTTTCACAGGGCAGCATACTTGGCGCTCTCCTCTTTCTCATCTACATTAATGACCTTCCAAACGCCTCTCAACACCTCAAACCAATCTTATTTGCTGATGACACAACTTTCATTTTCTCCAGTCCTGACCCGCTTGCTCTAAATGTCACTGTGAATACTGAACTAAATAAAGTCCATCTTTGGCTAACTGCTAACAAACTCACTCTTAACATTGACAAAACTTTCTATATTTTGTTTGGTAATAAATCCTCAAATGAAATTAATCTAAGAATAAACAATATACAAATCAGTAGTAAAGTTGATGGTAAATTCCTTGGTGTCCTCATCGATAACAAGCTGAATTTCCAGGGACACATTCTAAATATAGCAAAAAAAAGTTTCTAAAACTGTTGGCATTCTTTCTAAGATCAGATATTATAAAGTTGATACGGGCTCACCATAGCCCGTGTTACTTGGAACTTTTTGTTCCAGGTAGCGAATCTTAACAACAACAACAGATATTATGTACCTCGCCCTGCCCTGGTGACGCTCAATTACTCTCTCATCTATCCTTATCTCAATTATGGTATTTGTGCTTGGGGTTCTACTACCCAAAATCATCTACGTCCTCTAAGTACCCAACACAAAGCTTCTATTAGAACAATATCCAACTCTGGCCCCAGACAGCACTCGGTACCCTTACTCAAATCTCTGAATATGTTAGATATTACTTCCTCTTTCGCGCAGTCAGCAAACAGAAAATTAACTAGTGCAATGTGCTCTCAGTGTTTCAGGCGATCGAGCGGCAACACTGAAAAGTGTATATTCTTTTCACTGTCCTGACCTTAATTTTCGATGTACATATTTCATTTTTGTACCAATGTGTTCGCAATAGAATATTCTACAAGAACATATATATATAAAGTGTCACCAAAGCATGAGTTGAACCACCACCAAATAAAGAAACTACGTCGATCACTAGCCGTGAGCTCCAAACAGCGACGAGATGTTTCTATTCTTTTCAGGGTTGTCAACTACACA